ATGCCTTGAAATGTCAAAGAAGTTAAAACAAGTAGCAGATTTTGTATATAAATCTAGAACTGAGGAATGATTCTCCAGGTATCTGTAAATAGGTCTTCATGGAAAGGATGGCTACAGAGCACTTAACTGACCTTCAAAATGGATAATGTAGACATCAAAAGAATATATAACTTTCAATGCTTTCCCAAAGATAGTATAATTATTTAGATTTTAGGGAACATTTATCTAGGACACTAAAAGCTTTTGGAAATGCCAGGTTTTGTTTTGTTACTGAGGTTGATTGGCTTCTATTGGTTTTGTTTAAATTCACAAGAACAGAACTACATCTATGATGTGTTTGCTCAGGGTCACAAATTTTGTCTTCAAGTTGACTCTGGATCTGGATTGGAAGCAGTAGAGAGCCACTTCCTGGGCAAGGCACCCTGGAGTTTTCTCATTACCTTCTCAATCTAGGGTTGCCCTACCTGGAGGCCAAGCAGTTGACATACTTGTTAGTCTCTAGCTCCTGTGATGAAATACCAGACCTAAATCAGATAAGGGAGGAATCTGTCAAAATATTGAGACACTTGTTGAAACTAAAACCTGAAAGCTGTCACTGTGTTGTTGCACTGTGGACATTTTGCACTTTCCTGTGACCTTGATCTATTATACTCACCACAATGTACCGCCATAACTCTAGGCACACAGTTGCCATTATTCACCCATTCGTAAGGCTGTCCCAGTGTAGGAGAGCAAGATTCTAGGCATGGAAAAATAAATACATCACATCAAAAAGTCATCTAAAAATTACCTTTTCATTCCATACCCTCCTAGCATGTGACTGGGCAGCTGTGGCGAGAATAAAATTCTAGAATCTGCTAGAACAGTTTCAATTCAGCCCTTCATAACATGACCCATGTTAAGCATTATGGAGAGGCAATGGTCTCCTGTAGCCTCTGTAGCCTTTGCAGCCTTGCACCAGTCCTGTAGGTGTAAGGTCTTCAGTCGTAGGTCTACTCTTTGGCCTGTGTGACCTCATTCTTTCTAACCTGCTCTTCTTGGTCACAAAGTGCCATTTCTTTTGAACTTTGAGCCAGGGTTATTCAGTGAATCGGGCCACAAGAAGATCAAAAGGGAAGGCTATGTCAATAGAATGGAAGAAGAAGAAATTGAAAGAAAGAAATGTCCGGTGAATATCGGGAAACCTGTTAACAAGATATAACAAACTTGTATTTACTCAAATTATAAGAGACTCTCAAACATCTGTGCAGCTGGTCTTTGATTCCTCCTTCTACAATCCAGGGGACAGATGTTTTTTCTACTGCTGGGTTCTTTACAATCCCTAAGACTGTGTGACCAAATATGTGTGAGTAACACAGTTAACTTCAGGAACTTGTGCACCTCACACAAATGTATCTCCTTCTCTCTCTCATCATCTCTTATGGATTTCCAATTAAAGGAAACATTCTGAGGAATTCATTTCTTAACTTCACTCTTGCTCATATTTTAAGTTGGCAGCACTTTTGGAATTATGCCTAGATTAAGATACTGTGACCTTAGTAAATTTATTGCTTTACTTCTCCTTTTGCTGTAATGTTGGGAATGGAACCCAGAGTCTTCCCACGTGCCAGACAAATGCTCTACCACTAAGCTAAAAACTTCAACTCTCTGCTTTTCTCTTTTAATACACTAGCTCACCTCCTTATATTTTCTCTTTGAGTTGAGAAAAATTCCTAAATGGGCTACAAGTGTTTCAAAAAATAGCTTCACAGTTGAGCACCTCCATTCTTGTGACTCATTGTCATGGACACTGCCAGGGACCAACAGTACCATGTCACAAAAACATCATGGATGGTCCTCATTTTGTTCATTTAATCCTGTTCTGCAAAAGTTAATATTAGTGGTTCCAAACACAGATGCTTGATTACAAAAAGAATATGTTTGTAATAATGCTTTCCATTGGGGAATCCTGTTTTGTAAAAACCAGATCTGATTTTTCTGATGGGAAAAGTATGTTTTGTTGGAGTTAGGTGAGTTACTTGTAGCTAGAAAGCAGTATTGCTAATGAAAACCTTAGTTCAGTCACCACCAAAGGGATACCTGGTTGCCATCTGAGAATTTGATGGGGTGTGGTGTGTGTGTATGTGTGTGTGTGTGTGTGTGTGTGTGTGTGTGTGTGTGTGTGTAGTGATAAGGGAATATTGTAGACCAGAAGGCAGAACGTCCACAATGACTGTAAGAGCCAGAGGACCAGGACACCTGCTGTTAGTGTCTTCTAGACTTGACAGGGATGCATCACCCTTGAAATCACAACAAAATAATAACATTGCCTAAGCAAGACCTACATGATGATAACAGGACTCAAGATGCCATTGGGCGTGGGGGAAATTTCAAAAGGCCCTACCTCTAGATGAAGAGATACAAACAATCAATGGCTGCTGAGAGGGAAAATCAGTTTTCTCCAGGGACATGCCCCCCCATAGGTTATCCAATCCCATGTGGCCAACCCAAAACACAAGCATATGTAAGCAACACTAAACAGACTCAGTAGGTTATACATATGTGTGTGCGTGTGTGCGTGTGTGTGTGTGTGTGTGTGTGTGTGTGTGCGCGTGTGCGCGCGCTCCTACGTTTAACCATAATGAATTTAGAAGAAGAGGTCATGAACTTGAGCGGGACTGTGGGGACACTGGAGAAGTTGGAGAGGGGAGAGGGGAAGGTGAAAATAATGTAAATACAGTATTCGTGTGTTCAAGTCTCAAAGCAATTGTAATTTGACTGACCTGCACAACCACTCTGCTTTTCTGTTGTTAAATAGGAAACTGTTAAGGACAACTCACTTCTTTTCATGCCAAATGTTTTGAAAGTCTATTTGGAAAATGGGCAGACCAAATCCTTCCGCTTTGACTGCAGCACCTCCATCAAGGTAAGATGACATACAAAACTTTGGGCCTGGACTTAACCAGGCTCAGAGTGAAAGGCTGAACTATCCCTTTGTTTTTCAGTTCTGTTGGTTGTTTCCATAGAAGGCCATGTACAAATATGTAAAATCGAGCCAAAACAAAATACCTAAACTAAGGAGGTTTTCTTCTTTTTATCCTTATTGGTGTTATAAAACAATATAATACGCTATCAGTGAAAAAACACCAGGACTAGCCATTTTAATGCAATAGCAGATTAATTAAAATAGCATGACTGTCACCAAGAAGGTTTGGCACCCTGCCCAAAGCCAGCAGGATTTCTCAGCATTGTCAACCACCTAGAAGATTAAGATGTTAACTGTTAATTGAATATCTGTCACTTTGGTGCCCAGCAAAAACAAGGGGTAGAATAATGTCAAACTAAAATTTACTTTGAATTGTTGCAACCAATTTCACAGTAATGATACTTCATAAGAAGTCAGAAGTGAGGCATGCTTCTCAGGAGGAGGGGGGAAGGAACAGGCATCATGCAATCCCATGATTTCAGAGACACAGGTGAATTTTACATAATAGGTATGGTAGCAAGGCATATGGGTCACCCCCCCATGCTTTCTTCCTGGAAAAGAAAAGTGCATATTCTCTTTTTTTATTGAACAAAAGTATGTTCAGAAATTGATTGTTCCCTAATGCTTCATCAGCCTAAAATAGGCTTTCTTCAAATGGCACAGTAAAAAAGATTTTATGGAGGTAAAAATGTACCTAGTGATGATCTGTACCATAATCTATCAAGAGAATATTAAGACTGTGTTTAAAATGTCTATCAATAGTCAACCACTAATTCTCAGTGTTTGAAAGTACTCAGTGCAGATCTCACCTGTGCAAGTGTTTCTGCAAAAGCCACTTGCTGTGCACTCTCATTGTCATGATACCAGCAAGAGGCTGTGTTTGAATCACCTTAAATATGTAGTGATTCTGTAGGCAAGAGAGAAGACAATATTAGTAGATGGATGTAGAAGCATTAAGTCATCTTTAATTATCCAGATAAAATATTAACTCCCTTTATGTAATATCACTAATTTTAAATGGTAATGACTAAGTCCTTTTTCTTTTTTTCCTATTCACTACCAGTTTATGACGAGATGATATTTAATTGCATTATTAATCAAGTAATCCAGGGGTCAGATAACTCTTCCTGGAAAGAACAAGAGAATAAGCATTTCATGCTTTGAAGGCCATCTGATGTCTCTTGGAATGTTTACTTTTTGTTGCATCAACCAGGAAAGCAGCCATGGAGAGGTACAGTTGTGAGGTCCTCAAACCACCTTCAGGGTGAATACTTTACTTGAAGAACTCCCAGGATTCAGTCATTTGTTACCATCACATTATAGTTTATTACAGCGAAGGAATACAGGTTAAACTCTGAAAAGGGAGGAAGCATATAAGCAAAAACTGGGAGAAGTCCCATGAACAGCTTCTAGTGTCCCCTCCCCATGGACACCTATAAGCAGGGCTTTCTTCTTCCAGAAATGATATGCAAAATTATGCACAGAATATTGCCAACCAAGAAAACTGTCCCGAGTCTTGATGCTCAGAGCTGTTGGGAGTTGGTCCTGTAGACACAGATGACAAATTCCATGGCGTCCTTAGTATCTGACCCCTCAAGTGGTCAACTTGAAATTGCATGGCCTTAGACCCCTTGCATGAAGCCACTGTTAGCATAGACTGTCTGCTATAGTCCAGAGCCTCAGCTAAAACATAATGACTCCTGTCAGGCAGGCCATTCCAAGAACTGAGAGATTCCTTCCCAAAAGTAGGAGTGAAGAGCCACATCTTTCTTTAGGTAAGGATAATCCTTTACTGCACAGACACTGTGTGAGCAAATGAGCACAAGCACTTGGATCAATGGGCCATGGTTTGAAGACCCCAGAACCAAAGCATAAAGGTATATTATTGCAAATCTCTCTGTCCTTATGGATTTACTGTGTGTCACCAATGGCTCAGCTCCTTACTGTTAGACCCCTCTACCTCACTTGAAGACATGGGTTAAGACTTGAAAGCATTTCTTACCAGAAACCAATCCAAATTTAAGAAAGTTCTGTTATGAATTCCCTCCAGCCTCTTTAGTACAGAAACCCACACTAGACTGAGTTTGAGTTCCCGAAGGACTACAGGTGACAAGGGGAAGACAAGGAGCAATGCAAGAGTTCACCTCAAATTCAAGTTATCTTATCTTCTACCTAACAGATTTGTTATCACAATAGACACTGGTTGGTAGGCATAAAATAGAAACCATGGCATTATGAAAGTAAGATGATACTGTTTAATAAAATTTGCCAAAATTCTTGTTACAGAGTTACAATAGGAAAAAAAAAAACAACCCACCACTATCATTTCCCACTGTCCTCCCTAGTGGTTACTAAGAATGCTTCACAAGTCCAGGCTACCATACAGAGGCTGGGTTGCTTTTTTTTTCCTGCCCTTGCACAGAAAATTATAAAGCAGGGAATCTTTTTTTTATAACATTAAACAGAATCAAAGAATTTTTGTTGAATGAGTTTTCTTTCTGGGGGGGTGAGGTAGGTGGGCACGTATGTGAATTTTTTCATAGAGTAAAGAAATGACAAAGCGCAATAGAAGAATTAAATAATAGAAAAGTCAGGTAAAAGAAGAAAACTTTTCACGTAGGAAATTTGTTCTACCTTAGCACTACTGAGATTTTGGAACAGAAAATCCTTTGCTAGGACTTTCCTGTGAATCGTAAGATACTTACCAGCATCCCAGTTCTCTACCAACTTGGTACCAGGGACATCCTCTTCCCTGTGACAACCAAAAATTGCTTCCAGAAATTCCCAAAAATTGCTGAAGGGTAACATTTTCTCCAATTAAGAAGCACTGTTCCACAGGATTTTTAACATCAGACTATAAATTATATTGAAGAGAGATCATGTACTAGTTTTCAAATCTGAGTACAGGAAAGGCTGAGGAGATTAGTTTTGCCCTGTAGTACATTTATTTGTGTATGCAACACCTTCCTGGTTATAAATCTTTAATCTTATAAAAGTTTACTGACATAGCTTGCTCATTTCTCCTTCCCTGGGGATGTAAAATAAACATATATTGTTGTTATGGTGATCTAATTCTGTGTAATGTGGTGGTATAATAAATGCTTCCTATGTATGAACTTATTTACTACTTATATCCATTACAAAGCAGGCATTATTATCACCCCCTGTTTACAGATATGGAAAGTAAGATATTAGAGGTTGTGTTACATGCCAGAGCTGTACAGTTAATAAGCAGGAGAGCTGGTATTACAAACCAAACTATCTAAAAAGCTTCCCACTCTGCTGTTTTGAAAGTGGGCTAGAGGCCCACACACTATTTCCAGGCAGGGATAAATAGTGGATATTTCAAGCCTTACAGACCACTACTCAGCTCTCTTTGGGCAATGCAAGAAAGTAGCAATAGGCAATAAAGAGATAGGCTGATCATGTTGCAATAAAACTTTATTTGCAAAAGCTAGTTGGTTAGATTTTGCATACAGGTCATATTTTGTTAATACCTGGCATAGAGCACATTCAGAGCTCACTTTCATAGCTGGTTTAATTGTTGCTTCATTTAGAGGAAAGGAAACTAACATTCCATCTGTTGAAAAATCATCTAATTTAGAGTGCCACATAATAGGCAAGCTCCTCCTCCAGCTATTTACCTTGCTACCTCTATGATTTGAACTCTATCTGAAGTTTGGTGATGGCAGAGAACAGAAAGTGCCAAGCAAAGGAAAGCCTCGTTTCTGTACTTTTTGATTCTTTACAGCATTACATTTCAGAGTCAATGAAAGTGGGCAATTTCAGAGTATAAAACCTACATAAATGTATCAATTTCTGGTCGTGGTAGACTCCAAAAAGTAAAGGAGACAGTGATGATTTTGATCTCTTCGTGTCATTGCTTGCTCTGTAAGGATGTCATCTTAACCCTGCAAGAGAAGCTCTCCATCAAAGGCATTGAACACTTCTCCCTCATGCTGGAGCAGAGAACCGAAGGGGCCGGAACTAAGCTGCTCTTGCTTCATGAACAGGAGACACTCACTCAGGTCTGTGAAGTAACCCCCAAAATAATGCTGTTGGTGAAAGCAGAGTCTGTGGTGTCCCAGAACACCTCCCCTCTAGTCCTTTCTGTGTGGCTACTAAACTCCCCAGGTCCTCGCTGAAGGAACCACTACCTTTATAATGCACTTGGCACCTCAAGGTGGAATGATCCACTTTTATCAGTCTTTCATAGACTTTCAGCTGATCTGCCAGATTTGTCATTCAAAGGCTCAGCAGCTACTCAGTGGGAATGTTCACTATAGAGTGATATTTTATATTATTACAATAGCTTCCTTACCTGTTTTCATCTGTGCTCTCTTCAAATCATTAAAAAGGAATTGTTTCTGAGATTGCATAAATTAAGTCAATGGCCTCTATGTGGTTTTCAGTTCTGGATCCATACTTATGACTCTTTTGGGGAGCCTGCATCACTACCCTAGTCCTGTTTACTGTGACTATGTGATCTACTCATGTATCCCAATTCCTCCTTCCCAAGATTCTACCCCCATCTGTTCTCTTGGGAAACAAGCATCCAATATACAAGACCTTCACCTGTCTTGTAGTGCCACACTAGCTGAGTCTTGGTTGAGTGTCTAAGAGTCCATAAACTCCTCTTGCATAGGAGAATCCAATGATGAGTAACTAGAAAGGGGGCATGGGGGGACATCAGGAGCTGAGGCAGCAAGATATCCCCAGATCAGCGGAATGACAGTAAACACTGTCACAATAAAGTACTTCCTACTTGGTGCATAATTGAAAGTTGGTATTCCATATACCAGGTCCCTCAAATAATCCCATGTCTCTTGATGCACTCCAACTGCATGTAATGAATTACAAAGTCATCATTTGTGTTTATTTCTATTCTTGCATCTAAGCCTGACCTATGGCTTCTGTCAGGTTTAAATCTATCTAGACATATTTAAAGTCACTTGCAAAATAATCTGTGCCAAAGTACTATTGGAAATGGATGAATAATTGTATACATTCCAAGGGAATCACCACTGATATGCAGAATCCCTCAGAGGAAAGCCCAGAGTGTATCCAAGTACCTTCAGAAGCAAAATGTTAGCCAAAGATTTGAATAGATGTGGTTACTTGGGAGATCTTGGGAAATTCTATGAGAAGAATGGAGAATGGAAATGGGGAAAGTTACAAAAGAAATCTCATCAAGCCAGTAGTCACTGTGTCCCCTGGTGCGTGATTCTACTAGCAAATTCTGAGTGACAGTGTAGAACACTTGTCAGGGTACAATACCTGGTGTATGCTGGGGAAGCAGTTTTCTGCCAGTGTATACCCTGTCACTGCTGTTGGGCTGTGCCTGAAGCCACATAAAACTCCTTAGTCTGTCACATGACATGGTCATAGGTTTTTGCAGTAAATAATTTTTAGCCTGTGACAGTAAGTGACAAGGTGTGGTGGCCAGACCACCAGTTACTGAGTATAGCATAAGCCCCACTAATTCCCAATTATTTCCCTTCTAAATCTCTGCCTACTGTGTAGGCCTTATGGGAAAGCCTTAGGCCGATTCAGGTGAACAAAGATTCTTTCAATGTTTCTTCTGAGGCTATATAACCAAAATTTGAGAAAACTGATTAAATATCTGGAAACAAAGCATCTATATACCTTCAAATCTAGTGCAGTGCAGTTATTACAAATTCAGAGCAGGATAACAATTGGTAGAATGCAATTGTATGTATAAGGCCTTCTATTCTTTGCTGAGATGATTTCTCCTTTCCCTTGCCAGCCTCTCCTTGTAGCATTTCTTTAGTATGTTCCTTACATACAAACTCTTGCATCTGCTTCTGGAGACCTCAGCCTTACTCAAAGACCGATTTGAAGCTTTCAGGGAATGAGTTTACCTAGGATAAATACTAAAAGAACTTCCACAGCTTCTCCCATTAATGGTGAAAGAAAGTAGACTTTGCATCTGTGTCTCTCAGCCAGTTTTCAGCAATGATGGGCATTTATGTGATATGTCTCCCTTTTCAGGTGACACAGAGGCCCTGCTCCCATAAAATGAGGTGTCTTTTCCGAATCAGCTTTGTCCCAAAAGATCCAATTGACCTGTTAAGGAGAGATCCAGTTGCTTTTGAGTATCTGTATGTTCAGGTATGTGAAAACTTTGGGATGTTTTGTGTGAACGTTGTGGTATACACTAATATTGGGTTTTTTTCCTTCTCTCTTTAGAAGAGTTGTCTAAACCCTCCACTCAGCTTCACCAATTGTTAACATTTATAACACTGACTTTATTTTTAGTGTGGGTATGTGTTCCTTGTCTCCTTCATCATAGAAAGTCACACAAGAAACATTTCTCCACAAACCACATGAAAGTTAGTTATCAGGATCATGCATATTTACTCTTAAATATGTCATGCATTTTCTAATAACAAGGACATTTTATTATATAAACATTGTTCAATTTAAAAAATCAAGAAAAAGGGCATCGACACTTTTCCCTCATCTCACCTGTAATCCATATCCAAATGATGCCTGTCTTCCCCCAAGGACCTTTACATCCCATGTTTCCTAGAATGGAATTCACTGTAGGATTCAGTTTTGCATATAGTTCTCTAGGCACTTTGGTTTCCTTGAGTCGGTGACATTCCTGATCCTTCTTTGACTTTCACAACATTGACAAAGTTGAGGAGTACCAATAAGAATTACGAGAAATCTGTACATCACCCCAGCACATGCACTTACGTGTGCAGAGACACACACATATACACATAATTATAAATAAAATAAATATTTAAAAATTGAAAAAAAGAAATTTGTCCATTTGAGTTTCTCTGGAATCTTCCCATGCTTGGATTAACATTATACATTTTGTGAAGAGCCTGAGGCACATGATGCCAGTTTAGTCCCATCCTTGTGAAGCTAACTTTGACTCATGGGTGATAACTTTCCAAAAATTAATACATCTTTTATGATGAATAATAAATTTATGGAGAGTCATTCTGCAACTCTTTCATCATGCTCTACCTCATCAAACTCTTACCCATGAATTTAAGTATTAATTGATGATTCTAAATTGAATCTGTTGTTATCATGATGGTTTAAAATGGAATGTCTAATTCCATTATGTCTTCTTCACTGATCAATTGGCATACTATAAGAGTTTTCCCTTCCCCAGTTATTTATTTATTGATCCATTAGTCCTTTGCTATTTGGATTGCTCTGAGATATTGTGATAATGATTATCATGGAATTAATTTTCAGATGATAAATCTCTAAGAAACATGTATCTTCTTTCGATCGCCTATATTATAGTTGATTCTGGGGTATAATTTCCTCAGAAATAAAACTTCCAGGCATGACTGTCTGGCAGAGTTTATCCTAAAGGGAATTTGTGGATAGATGTTTGGATCTTTATTGATGGATAAATTTATGTAATTCAATATTTAGAAGATAATCCTATATTTTTCTATAACGCCACACTTATGCTCTCACTTAATTTTCCAAAGTAATCAGATTAAACGTTAAGAATCTGTTTACTTGATGTTTAGTACCTAACAAAATACCTACCCAAAGAGTCTGTAAACTTGTGTTTGACCCTCATACACACAAAAAAAAGAGAAAAAATTAAAATGAAGCCAAAGAAATTAGTTACAAGGTGAAGGAGAACTGAAGAAGGGATAGGTGTTGCAAGTAAGGAATAGTGATATAAATTAGCAATGTCCTCTAGAGATCAGAAATGAAATCAGAAGAAAAAACTCAGAATAATAGATCATGTTCATGAAGATACCCTGCATCTTCAAAATAAGTCAAATCATATAGTATATATACCCTATTTGTCAAATTAAAAAAATAAACACACACACACACACACACACACACACACACACATATTGCATTTTCCATCCCAAACAGTGAGATTGTCATGTTCTGGCTTTTCTTGGTTCTAAATTTTGATCACATGCACTCCTTACTTGGCACCGATGGCCTCTGCTCCCTAACAGGCCAGGAAACTCAGCCAACTATGACTGCATGGAACAAAGAATGTAATTCTCAGCTGGTCTGTTACTGTACTTTCCCCATAATCCTGCTAAGAAACAACATGGAGCTGGGTCACATCATTTACTACAATTATTGCTTCGATAGTTGCAAATAGACAGTAGCATATATGTACTGGTTGTTCGCTATAATTACATTTTCATCCTGCTAACAGGATGATGCTTTCAAAACATTTGACTTCTGTCAAAACATCATAACAAGTGCATTGCATTTGTAAAAGCACAACATGGCTGTGCTTGTCTTGTGGAAGGGAGACAAGGACTAAATCCAATTCCGATTATGTTCTAAGGTTTATCGGCTCAAATCTAAAGCATGGAGAGTGTTCTTATTCAAAAGATACATCTTTTGTGCCAGGGGACTCGCCTCAACCTAAGAAAACCTATCTGGAGAACTTGCCTGGCAGAAAAAGACTGATAATATTTCTGTTTTCCCACCTTAGCTGTTGCATGGGCAGTGGATTACCTCTTCAAGGAATAGCCAGCAGGGGAGATGGAGAGCCATATACGGTGGGCAAGGGACACTAAAATAAAGCCACTATTGTCTTATATATTCTCCACAGAGACTAGAAAATGAAATTTCCCCTGTCTCTTTCTCTATTTTGAAATGCCTATATCTCAGAACATGTGGTGTGTCTAAAATAACCCATCTGTCTAATAGAAGTCACCAGGTCTACAAATGGTGCCATGTTGACTTTAGGATACCACAAGGATACAATGAAATTGCCTAGAGAACAGAAGACTTAAGTGGAAGCAATACATATCACTTTACAAAACCCAAATCAATTTAGCTTAGCAGGCTTCTAATGATGACACAGTCACCATTGACCAGACAAAACACGATGATGGAAACAGATTTCAATAGTGATATCTATTCATCTCCCAGACATTAATGGACCGTGATGTCTTTTAAAGATTTGAGCACATATATTAACATCAAACTCTAATAATCCAGATTGTTCTAATTCGTAATTCTAATTGGTTATTCTGACTTATTCCTGTCCACTCTCTATGCAGAGAAAGGTTGTTTATACCAATCAGCAAACAGGCTATGAACTGCTGGCCTCCAAAATCTTTGCAAACATATTACTAGTATTGGTTTCTTCTTAAACATATATATTAATTATAAATTAACTTTTTTGGTCTTTTTTTGAGACAGAGTCTCCCTGTATGGCATGGAACTCACTATGTAGACCAGGCTGGCCACAGTCTCACAGAGGCCTGCCTACCTTTGCTTCCTGAGAGCTGGGATTAAAGGTGTGTGCTACCACACCTGGCTTATAAATTAACTTTTCATAGGCCTACAGTGAGGTCTGTTAAGACCTCTACTTAGCAAAATAGTAACTACTATTTATTTGTAAGACTTATGTAATGTATTTGAATAGGAAAAACATGATTAATGCTATATATATATGTAAATATATATGTAATTCAGATTTCACACTAATTTTCCAGTCTTAACTAATTATATAATTAAATGACTAATTGCCTTGTCAAAAATTTACCCAGAAGTCTAGTTATATTCAAGGTGCAACAGGGATGGAGGAAAAACAGTTCTAGCTACTGCCATTAGGAAAAGTAACAATAATGACTCATGTTTTTATCTCCTATTCTATTTTATGAAATACTCCTAGAGCTATTATGTGAACCTTGCAAGTTAGTTAGCTCTCAAGTCATTCTTAAGAGCTCCTCCATTTTTCAGATAAGAAAACAAACACTGAAGAAAAATGAAATGTCATGGCTAAGGTTATCTGGACTTTTATCTCTAAATTCTATAGGAAAAACTTCTGTTTTAAACCCTTATACAATAGCAGGTTTCAAGAAAATCATTTGGAAAATGACTTCTCACAAAACAGATTCTGAGACTGGGTAGATAGCTCAGCCCACAAAAAGCATGAGAGCATTAGCCTGATTCCTAGAACCCATGTTAACAAAAAATTGGCTGTAGCAGCATATGTGTGCAATCTCAATACTGGAGACAGATACAGGTAGATCCCTGAGGCTTGTTGGCCAGTCAACCTAGCCTACTTGATGAGTTCTAGGTCAATGAGAGACCCTGTCTCACAAAACTGGATGGAACAACATACAGGGTTATCCTCGAACCTACACACATACACACAGACACACATATATATATATATGTGTACATACACACACACACACACACACACACACACACACACACACCAGCTTCTCTACTTGGCCAGTACTAAGGGTCTTTCTCACCCCAGTCTCTCAGAGGACTATATAAAATGACCGTATCTAGGCTGTTAATTCCTTAGAAGCCAGATGGACAACCTTGAGCACTTAAGTATGATTGGCAAAACGAAAATGAACAAAACAACAAAACAACAAAATAAAGCAGCAGCCTGGAATTGTTTTCAGTAGTTGCCCCAACTCACACCAAGCTAGGTTCTGCTTCATGACAGACCCATTTCCAGTAAGAGGTGCTGTGTGATAAGGCAGCGATACGATTGTACAAGGAAACCACAGTGGAAAATACATAGGAGAAAGAGTGGAATTCTTTTAGCAATGAAGCATTGGGATGAGAACTATGCATCCATTGCATGTAGGTATTAGTATGCAATGGGTACATAATGCATGTGGAAGCCGTACGGCAGTATATGATGCTATTGCCATAAATCAATGGATGAGGTGATTACAGTTGTGCATATCTTTGGAAGAGGAAATAGGTTTCCATTTGAAATCTACTTCAGACAAGGCAAAGAACACAGAAGTGGAACTGAAGGGAAGGCTCAGTGGTTAAGAGCACTGGCTGCTCTTGCAGAGGACCTGGATTTGATTATCTCTGGAAACAGTTCTAGGCTGTCATTTTGGTTTGTTCAATTTAGTTTTACCAATCATATACTTATGATATTCCATCTTGGTTCCACAGATTAACAGTCTATATAAAGTCATTTTATACAGTCTTCTGAGAGACTGGGGTGAGGGAGTGCCAAGCACAGAATCCGATGGCTTTTTTGTATTTGTGTTAGCACCCACATGGCAGCTAACAACGATCCGGCACCCTCTCCTGACCTCCTCCAGCACGGCACAAGATGGGTGCACCTACCTACACGCAGGCAATACACTCATATACATAAAAGAAATAATAAATAAATAAATAAAAGCAAACTTTTTAAAAAGAATACAAGCCGGGCTTGGTGGCACACACCTTTAATCCCAGCATTTAAGAGGCAGAAGCAGATGGATCTCTGTGAGATCAAGGATAGCCTGGTCTACATAGTGAGTTCCACGCAGGTTGGGGCTAGGGAGACCCTGTCAAAAAAAAAAAAGACAAAAAAATACAAAAGCATACAGGAGAGACGTTACCTATATTTTCTAAGCCTAGAGCTCAGTTTCTTAATACAAAAATCAGCCAGCAAATCTACAGAATCTGCTTATGCAGTGCTGTGCTTCCCATCCACACTTAGCCCTCAGCTTTGCTGCTAAACAGAGTCAAAATCCCTACCCTAAGTCCCGTCTCTAAGGCCATATAAGACCCTAACACTTTTCAGCATATGCTCGGCTACTCTGTTTGATTGAGCTGGGGTCTGGCTATTTTTCCCAGGCTGGTCTTAAATTTGTAGTCCTCCTACCTCAGTCTTACAAGTACTTGGGACTGTAGGGTGAACCACCATGCCTACCTTTCAGCCAGTCTTTAATTTGATCCTAACCACAAACTATGTGAAATGAACGAACTAATGCCAAGGAATGTGGATTAACTCCCACACAATTAGACATCTGATATAGTAGGGAAGCCACCATTGAAATACATGGAAGGTTTTAACAGTGACCCTTTACAGTATGCACCAATCCCCTGTGATTAAACGTGTTCATAATATCTAATCTCAGGTTGCTTTAGTAAGGTGGTTCTTATGAACCCTGAAGGGGTTTGGTGAGGTGGTTCCTAAGAACCTCAAGGGGCAGATGAGTAAACTGAGGGCAAGAGTTCATATACACAGTAAAGTTTCATGCATGACAGTCATTGAACATAAGTTCAAAGATGCTGTGCCCATTCACCTTTCAAATTCTGCCTGCCTGAAGCTGTGTTTCATTATCAGAAAGAGGAAGAAGAGGAAGAGTTTGGGCACAACAGTAATTAGCTTATAAGCATGGTTATAAGACAAGCAAGGCAGGCTTGTCATCCCAGCTACTCAGAATTCTGATGCAATAAATCAGAAGTTCAAGGCCAGCCTAGACAAGTTAGTGAGACCCTTCTCAAAACAAAATGTAAGGAATAAAAGGGCTGAGGTTGGGGCTGGAGAGATTGCTCAGGGGTTAAGAGCACTGACTGCTTTTGCAGAGAACCATGGTTCAGTTCCCAGCATCCACATGGAAGCTAAAAACTGTCCCTAACTCCAGGGATCCGACACCGCCTTCTGGCCTCCGTGGGCATTGTACACACATGATGCACTTACATGGAAGTAAAACACTCATACACATAAAATAAAAGTAAATAAATAAATATATGTAAACTTTTAAGGGCTGGGTATATAAGTCAGTGATAGTCTTTGGTGAGGATGTTTGGATGCTTCATTCAATCCCCAGTACCACACAAAACAATAATAAAATTAAGAGTAAATCAATACATAAATTGTGCTTACAGCTTGTCAAATACAGTTACATGGGCTTCAAATCGTTAATTCATTTAGTCATCCTCACAGTGAGTAGTTAGAAAGCACCGTTACTCCAGTTTAGAGAAAGGGAAACTGAGTCACCATTAAGTAAGGAACTTGTCAAAGGCCATGCCCTGTATGAAATGGTGAACAAGTTTCAAATCTAGGATTCCAATTCCTGCAGCCTGGCTGCAAACGCCGCATTTTGCTATCAGCACTTCTCACATAGAGCTACAGCACCTGTGTTTGGAAATTCCATCTCAAAATTCCTAATTATTTTTACAAAAAGCTAAATATTTAAATAACAGCTTGTCGATGAATGCTAAATGTTTTGTGTGGTCTCTGTGTTTGTGCATGCAATTAAATACTGACTCCGTTCCAAGCAGCATGGTGGAGATGTTTCCACATTTAGCCTCGGTGCCTTCGAAGTGAACGTTGAAACACTACGAAATGCATGTCACCTGCTCCTCTAAGGCAACGCAGGCCATTCTCTGACAAGCTGCGCCCTCTGCTGGTCTCTTCGCAGAGTTGTAACGATGTCGTTCAGGAGCGATTTGGGCCGGAGCTGAAATATGACATCGCCTTGCGGCTGGCCGCTTTACAAATGTACATTGCCACTGTTACCACCAAACAGACGCAGAAAATCTCCCTCAAATATATCGAGTAAGTGATGAAGCTTAGCGCCGTGATGCCGTGGTTTTGGTTTTTGGAGGTTTCTCTTGATTTCCAAACGTCATCTAGTTCATGGTAGACTATTTGTAAATGAGAGATAAAATGTACAAACAGTGGGTCTCTTGTGGTAGAGGAGATCCATTTTTCACGGAATCCACCTATAGGAAACTGTAGTTGAGGTGAAGGTCACTTTCTAAAAGAAGTGAAAGCCCAGAGTGGTGGCTTACACCTGGAATCCCAACTTCAAGAGTAGGTGTGCTGATGTGGGATTAACAGCCAACACCACATAGCAAGATTTGTCCCCCCAAACTTACCATGATACACAAGCAATCAGAAGGCCTGTACCTTCAGTTACTCAGGAGGCTGGGACAAAAGTTCCATGGCTATAGGAGTGAACTCAAGGCCAACTTGTACACCTTATCCAGACACTATCTCAGACTAGGAATGAAGGAAAAATTTAGTGTCAGTACATTTGAGACATTAACCTATTTAATTCTCACAGCATCCCTAAGATCAACAGGGCTTTAGCTTCAAAGATAGATTGGCAAACTGAGGCACAGGATCATTAATTTATTTGCCCAGGTCATAGAGCTGGGAGGGACGGGATTAAATCCCAGGCAGCGAGACTCCTCACCAGGCATTAGTTTGTGTGATAGTTGGACCTGTTACTGGCAATTTTTAGATATAAGCCTGAGATCTGGCAGCTGTAGGTAGGCTTAGGCACACATTGCCAAGATACCAATAAAAGTGACAAGTAATAGTAAAAAGAAGGGAAGGGAAATTTATTCAATGGGGGTGCATTGTGAAGAGGAACAAATAAATGGGTCTAGTGAACTCCAAGTATGCTTGGGATCCTGACATGAAATTTAGCTTTAAACAGAGGTCAAGAGATGTGCAGAGCTTTGCAGTCCTGGTCAAGGTATGGCCCCATCTATTACCGACTCCTTGTTGTCTAGTCTGTCCTGCAAGGTGGTCAGATAAATTGCAGGGACTATGTGCATTCTATTCTTAGGAAGTAAGTTCCTCCTCTGGTTGGCACTAGAGTTCAATATTGACTTTCTTACAGCACGAAATTCCTGGAGAAATTCCATTCTGGGAGTATCATTTGTCTCAAAAGTCTGGTAGCATGAAGGACAGGCACAAGAGTCTTTAGAAATTCTCCTCTCTGGCTGGAGAGATGGCTCAGCAGTTAAGAGCATTGGTTGTTCTTGCAAAAGACCCAGATTCAAATCCCAGCACCCACATGGCAGCTGACAACCATCCATAACTCCAGTTCCAGGGGATCTGACACCCTCTTCTGTCCTCTGTGGGTACTGCATGACATGGGTGCACTTACACACATGCAGGCAGCACACTCATATACATAAAGTAAAAATAAAAAATTTTAAAAAGAAATTCTCCTCTCTTGCCAGGGTGGTTGTAGAGGCACTTGCTTGAAGGTGTCTGTATAGCAGGAGACCATTTTTGTAGGGTCAAAATGCAGTATCAAAAGTAATGACACAAGCTGGGACACGTGGCTCATACCTGTAATTCCAGCACTCCGAGTCTGAGGGAATTTAAGGTGGGAGAATCACAAGTTTGAGCCTAGTCTGAGATACATAGCAAGACCTTTTCAAAAAAAAGTAATGTCGAGTCTGGAAAGATGGCTCAATGGATAAGAGCACTGGCTGCTCTTGCAGAGGACCTGGGTTTGGTTTCCAGCACCCATATGGTGGCTAACAATTGTAATTCCAGTTCCAGGGAATTGGACGCCATCTTCTGACCTCCATAGTCTTTGCATGGCACGGATGCACTTACGTAGATGCAGTCAATACACTCAGGCACATAAAATGTAAATAATAAATCAAATATTTTTTAAAAAGTAATGTCACAGTCAGGAAGCATGGATTCTTGGTTTCTGTTTAGTAAGGAGCTATAAAGTGGCAGGCTAGGATGTCACACAACAAATTTGGCTCTGTGAATCACATCTTGTTCCGAAACTATGACTGCCTTCTCTTGCTGAGTATGCTATTTCATCACTAGCATCCCACTTTGACAAAGAAAGATCCCCTTTTCTTAGAAAATAAATGGTTTGTATTGCCTCCAGCTGACAAATCTATTTAAGGGTCATCCTTTAAGAGGCAATGCTCTTACTCCCAGCAAGAGATTCACTAGCCTAAAGCAAGCACCTCTTCATCTCAGCAGCTCTTTATGCTAAGCAAAAGAACTCATGCTTTAAAGCTTATGGCCAGACTGAAACCATATATCAACATCATGTGAAAAGCCTTGAGTTTCTCCCCATTCCCACTCCAAGACATAGACAGTTAAATTACAGTCCCCATTTCAAGGTGTTTCCTAGGGGTGCTCATAAAGTACCATGATGCCACATTACCCAACCAGGGAGCTTTTATCAAGAGATTCATGTGCCTGAACTGGGGAAGACTTGAGCTTCAATTTGCTGACTTCATTGACACTGTTCTGTTAGTTCCCAGTTTACCCATTGATACCTAAATGATGACAAGTCTTCCCATGTAGTTTACTCTCCCAGATAGTACAACTTCTTCTCCCTTGGCACAAACACAGTCATTGTAGTCTGGGAGAGATTCTACTCATAAACTGGTCTCACATCAGCTGGACCCATTCATATGCTCATAGTAACTAAAGTTCTTAGGTACAGTTGAAACTGGGTGCCGTTTGAAAAGGTAGGCTACACAACCTCAGAAGATGTTCAAACAATTCAAATACATTTGGGGGACTTGGGGTATATCTCAGTCAGTCAAGCTTGACAACCTGATCCCCAGAACCCACGTTAAAAATGCCAGACATGATGGCATATGCTTGTAATATCAGCATTGAGGCAGAGACAGGTGGATCCCTGGGACTTAATGACAAATGCGCCTAGCCTAATTGGTGAGTACCAGGCCAGTGAGAGACTCTACATCTAACCCCAACAAAAAATGTGTTTCTGTTCTGCTGTTCACCGTCACTTTTTCACAAGTGGAACAATGTGCAGTCAAAAACATCTCAGCAATAACTAGCTTGACTAGAATTATTTCAGTCTGCAGCAATGTTGTCATAACTCATTTACCAAAAAATATTGATTGAGCATTTCATATAACATTTACATTAGATACTAGAAAACACTAATTTTCATAAATTGTAACCCTGACCATCAAGGAGTTTATAATATGGGTGAAAAGAACAACCACAAAGATTTGAAAAATAGTCATTTAAAAGAATGATACATGGTGGGGCTGTATCTCAGTCGAGAACATTTGCCTAGTGTGCATGAGGATCTGGGTTCTATTCCAAGCACCACATATACATATTCTCTCTCTCTCTCTCATTTCATATGCATGCATAGATGTTAAAAATATAATAAAATAGCATTCTTAGCAAAGATCACAAACAATTAAGGTGAGGGGCGAGGTGTGTTTTTTCCCTTCAGAGAAGACCTGAAGTTCTTCATAATTTTAACATACTACTTGAGCAAACAATCAATCAGAAAAAATAACCTAGAATTCAAACTATGGAACCTTGTGAGAAGAAGGTGGTTGTCTTTTCAGGGGAACCAGGCTCTTGAGAAAATTACAATAACCCAATCCTATATACTGGTCTCCCCCACCCCCATATATCTACACCTGTTTTTCTGTTAGTGCAAAGATACTTGAGAGACATGAATCATCTCCATCCCTCAACAAAAAAAAAATTGTCTAAAGGGAGTTAGACAAGAATTGACTGGGAAAGAAAGCTATGGGTTTCTAGAAAGCCAGCTACTGATAAAAGAGACAGAGGATTTGGCTTAGGGGTAAGAAGAAATTATATCCATCCTTCTAAGAGAAAGAAAGTGTGGGAAAACAAAGACATAAGAATGGAAATCAACAGAAAGATTCCAAAAAATTGGTATTGGAAGCATAGGTACAGGATGAACTTAAGAGACACAGAAAGGGGTTGAACAAAAATGTCTCTTTAATTTCCATTGGCCACCATTTAGCTTGTTAGCATTCTCTCTGTAGAATGAGGAATATGTTTCTTTTTAAATGCAAGCATATGTACTAATGATCAAATAGTGTATTTCCAGCATGTAAATTAAAAGTTGTCCACTGTCTTACCAAGAGTTCACTTGTTTCAACAAATATCAGTGTCATTTTGTCTTACATAACTTATCATCACAAGAATGGGGAATTAAAGCCATGCTTTTGATTGCAGGAAAGAATGGGGATTAGAGACTTTTCTTCCCTCTGCTGTGCTGCAAAGCATGAAAGAGAAAAACATCAAGAAAGCACTTTCACACCTTGTCAAAGCAAATCAAAACTTGGTACCACCGGGTAAAAAGGTATCACATTTGCATCTTAATAGAAAATAGATTTTAAGGAGAAAGGATTGCATGCATTTTTAAAAAATGTTTAAAATTAGCCCACGAATAACATACTTGGCACCGTATTTTTCAGAAGGCAGTAACACTGCAGAACTTTTTAAACTATTCACATATTTCTAAAGGTGATGAAAATTGCCTTATGGTTCTGGAAACCTATTTCTTTCTTACAAGTTTAAACTCCTTATTGTATGGGGTGGGTGGGTGGTGTGTTCATATGTCCACAAAGGAGAAGCTCTGAAGCCTGTGGTTAAAGGATCAAATTGCAAAATAATTCTCCATTTCCATCAAGTTCTTGCTTAAATCTGTAGCAGCTTATAAGGGGCCCTGCAGCTCAGGTACTGTATTTGTTAAATCATCGATTCTTTATTAGGACAGAATTAGCATTTGGTAAGAGACTGGTCCTTGTTGAGGCATAAGGGTGCTGTCCTGGGCATTTGGGGATATGTGGCAGCATCCTTGGTCTCTACTGACCAGACACCAATGTCACACCTCCCTTAATTACCACAAACAAAAACATGTCCAGACACTGCCAAGTAAGTGGTGGAGAACAAAATCACCCATAATGACAACCACTGAATTAAATCCTACTTTGGGCAAAAACCCAAAAGTTATTTCTGTCACTCATTATGAGTGTTAAAATCTTTGTATTTGTTTCAGTTTTCATTAAGTAGCACACAGACATACACAAAAGACTTTTAAAAACACATTGTTGGTGAGGAACTATTGGGAGCGGATCTCACTGCTGGGTAAGAGAGAGTTGATCTTCTCTAAGGGAGTGATGTTAGAGAGGCTGAACAGGCTCTAGTAGATGAATTCACACCGAGGGGCATCTAGGGACACAAACTTGACTTGATAGACTTTAATATATATGACAAAATACATGAAATCCTGTTCGTGGGCAGGCTATGAGAGGGGTACAGACAGGGAAGGGTAAGCTAAATATGATTAAGATGTATTATATAAAATCCACAAAAATTCAGTTAAAATATATTAATATATTGTTGGTCAGAAAAGAGTGTGGTCTATAAGTAATAAAAAGCAAAGATGTCTAGTAAGCAGAAAGGAGTCTTGAATCACTGAGGCTATAAAATGGGAAAGTGGTTTAATAGCCTGAGTACACGTTGCAGCTGAAATAGAATATCGAAACTTATGTGACCCAATACAAGTCATTGTCCATACGAATAGTTCTTTGGTCTTAAGTATCTGATTTTCAGTCACTATAATAAGACACACATACTTCCATTCTCTCCTTAACCCATAACATTTTTTAAACTTATAAAGTGGTTCACTCTATGCTTGGCCACATTTAACTCACTTCCCACTTTCAAGGGAGAATGTTTCCCATCCCTTCATGATGAGTACTGAGCTTTAGAAGAACAGCAAGATACCATGGATCAAGAGTTTTACGATTTGTAAATCATCCAGTGGAGTCTAGTCAGCCAATCTAGAGATCGTATGTAAGGCATACTCTCCCTCACCCAGTAGCAATCAGTCTCCAATAGTTCTCAGTCTAGTTCTGCTCATCTCCCATTTCTCTCCTCCCCTCTGGGCCCTTGTTTAATTGAGGTGGCATGAGTCCTGTGCTTGATGCCACCATTGTCACAAGTTCACATGTACAAGCTTCCAGTGACCTGAAAGCCTCTGCTTCCCCTCTTCTACAATGGTCTCTGAGCCACGGGTTGGTGAGGTTCAATATAAGAGTCCTATCCAAGGACACACGCTGTGCTTTCTCTTATTCTTTAAAACTGGCCAATTGTGGTCTTCTGTGTGCATCACACTCTGTTCATCTAGGTACAAATGCTTGACTGGATAGTACTTAGCATATATGTCAGAATACATGAGGTCCAGTGGGGGGGATGGGGGGCATGAATGGAGGAGGGGGATCTAAATTTGATTAAGAACTGTTGCATGAAATTACAATTGCTCAATAAAAAATTTAAAATTTATTAATGAATTTTAAAAAGTTTTCCAATTTGTAGAGCTGGGAAGATGGCCCAGGTGGTAAAGTCCTTACAGCACAAGCACTAGAACCTGAGTTCAGTACCCATAACACATGTGAAAATGCCGTGTGACAGGATATACACTTGTAATCCCAGCATGGGCAGGCAGTCACAGACACATTCCTGGACCTCAATGACCAGCAAGCCTAGCCTGTTTAGTGAGCTCCAGGCCAATGGGATACCATTGCAAATAAAAACAAGGTGGACAGTTCCTGAGAACTGACATCTGAGATAGAACTCTGTGCTCCATGCACACCCACCCACATTCACGTGCACCCTAAAACACACAGTGTGCACATATATATACACACAGACACAAATACACATAAAAGTATTTTATGATTTTTGCCTAAAGCTAATCTCTATTAACTAATGTCATTTGAATTTTTTGAAGCCTGGGCCACTGGTCTTATAATAATTTGGTAAATAATACTAATATTAGTCCATTCTGTTATGTATCATCTACCTATATCTATCTGTCATGTATCTCTCTACTTCTGTGATATGAAACCTAGTGTTTCCACCCAGGAGTGAGTGATTTGCTTTCAAATAGTTTTGTTCTTTTTAGTAATTATAAATGTTCTTTTTGTATAATGTATATTTTTGTTGAGGTTTTGTACATTTCATATAATAAATCTTAATCAAATTTATACCCCTCCCCCATCTATTCCCCCTTTAGCACCCCACACCCACCAAATTTCATGCATTCTGTTATATACACTAAGTCCTATCCAGTCAAGCATTGGTACCCAGTTGTCCCTTGATGCAAGTTCATCCACTGAAGTCTAGTCAGCCTATATAGGGTCACTCCCTTAAAGAACATCTACTCTCCCTCACCCAGCAGTAATCAGTTGCCAATAGTTCCTTTGCTAGGGTTGGGGCCTGTTGCCCATTTCCCTGGTTCTATGCTGGGTTTTTGTCTGATTGAGTCAGCATGGGTCTTGTGCATGCTGTCACCATTGTTGCAAGTTCACATGAGCGAGTCCCCCGAGGCCTGAACAACCTCTGTTTCCTTATCTTTATGCACCACCCTGGCTATTACAATGTGTCCCTGGATAGGACTCCTATATTAAACTTCGCCCACCCATGGCTCAAGGATCATTGTTTTATGTTTTTTGTGAGATGTAAGGTAATGAATGTTGCTAAATCGCAGTCACACCAAAGGCAATACTTCCAGTTATAGTTTACATGAGTGTTAGGAAATTGTGTATGATTGAAACAGAATTTTTCAGTCATTGTCACTTAATGGTGATCATCTACATTGTACTGGAAAAGTTTCCCCTTAATAAATATTCCTTGCACATTCAGCATGAAACAGGGACATATTTTAATCAAATACCTTTTTTAAAAATTGACGTGAGAACCAAAATTTTTATGTCTTTATAAAGATAAATTTATCAAGGTAAAATTTCATTTGTAATTCATCCATGAGACAGATTCTCAGATTTGAATTAACAATCAAGGACTTATATAGCAAGTTCAAACATTTGCACAGTGGTTGGAGTTCAGAAAGTTTACTTTCCTTGAAAATTTGAAAATAATGGAAGAAACTTGAGAGGGAAGATGTAAAAGCCTGTATAAAAGACTTTGCATCGATTCCAGGTGCATCTTGAAAACACCCCCACAAACTTATACAGTTGAGTCTCTGTGTCATGGGAGAATTTGAGTGCAATCCTCCTTCACCCTAATCACAGTTGAAAAGTATCACTCATCTATTGTAAACTCCCAAAGAGCAGACATTTCTAGGAGCAATATCTCACCTTGTTCTTACTTGCTGAGTAGCCTGAACCATGTATCTGTGCTCATGCAAATCCCCCCACCACATACACACATACACACACACACACACACACACACACACACACACACACACACACACACACACACACACCCTCATACAGAAAGAATAAGATTTGAATCTTGCTGTCACATTGCTGTCCATCACTGGGAAATTCTTCCTTCCTACTGTCTTCTCACACTCCATCTCCTCAGGAAAACAAAAGCATCTTTTTGGAGTAAGGGTGGAGCTCAGTGGATTGAGTACTGGTTTAGCATACACAAAGACCCAGGTTCCATCCCCAGCACTGGGCACTGAAGCACACACTTGTAATTCCAGCACTCCAGAGGTAAAGGCAGAAGGATGAGAGGTTCAAAATCATTCTCAGCTACATGGCAAGTTTGAGAACAGTCTGGGATACATGAGAGAATGTCTGAAAAAAAATGCTTCTTTCTAGTGTTCCCCTAGTTCTACGACTAAAATGGAATTCCACCTACTGGAGTCCACATTAAAGCTTTCTTTTCTCTCCTCAGCTCTCTGCACTGCAAGCCAAGGTTCACTATCTCAAGTTTCTCAGTGACCTACGATTGTATGGGGGTCGTGTATTCAAGGCAACGTTAGTGGTAATTTCATTTTCTTGCTTTCTCTCTGAAGCCACAGAGGCCTGCAAAATGTCATTGCTCCTTCAAATCAGATGGGAATCTTTTCTGGTCTTCATTCCTAACTGACTTTGGCACAGTCTGAAGACAGCTTGAGAAATGTTCAAACTAGATAATGTTCCTGTAGAATGCCCTACAAAAGGAAACATGAAGAAACAAGGGAATCAAAGAACTCTGACAATGATGGCTTTTCAGTCACCAAGCCAGGAAAAAACCCACAAGCCTCATTTCTAAAAGCTTCTGATGATTGTGAATATATTGTGTTATGATAGCATTTACTTTCTATGTTATTCATAATTTATGAGAGCCTCCACACAATCATATATCTATCCAGTTCTTCTAATTGTATGATTTAGTACCGCGTGACCAAGAAATGTGTTCTAAAGAAAAAAAATGTAATCTTATATAAACAGGCTCTCTGATTCAGGTTCACATGGTACTTCAGAAGTCCGGGCTTTGAAACATTTTGTCAACATTTTTTTTTTCTCTCAGCAGGCAGAGAAGCGCTCAGAAGTGACTCTTCTGGTTGGGCCCCGGTATGGCATAAGCCATGTCATAAACACCAAAACCAATCTGGTGGCTCTTTTAGCCGACTTCAGCCATGTCAACAGGATCGAAATGTTTACTGAAGAGGAAAGCTTGGTGAGGGTGGAGCTACACGTACTCGATGTGAAGGTAAACCTTTCAAATCCTGACCCATGGACCTGGGACAACACTGACAGTATTCACCAAGTAGGAGAAAGTTAATGCGTACAGGGCCTCAAAGATATCATATTGTGAAAACAAAAGAAACCCAAAAAAGAAAAAAAAAACCTGTTAAACTCCAGTCCAAGGGCTTTAGCCCCCCCCCCAAACACTTGTGTGATTTTGGGACAAGTTGTTTCATTTCTAGCTCTGTTCTGACTTTAAAATACTGAGTCACAGAGAATAGAAAATTTTCTTTTCTCATGTAGCTTTCTAGAATATATGATGCACATAGAAAATCACTGAGATTTTCTCCAATTTTCTTTAGAATTCTCATTCTCTTTAATTAAGTTGGGTTCATGTGATCACTCTTTTAGAAAAGGTGGTTATTTTAATTAGCCTGTCTTTTCAAGCTATAGAAGTTGGGACTGGTTTAACATCTGACCAGTATGAATGTCACAGATATCCATTTACAACACAATCTGAGGTTGTCCACGAGACTAAACTCTCGAAGTCATCAGGAAACAATCCGTGACATCTCCCTTTCTCCCACTAAAGATAAGGCATTGAATTTTGGATATAGTGTTATGACTCACGTTTCTCTAAAAAAAAAAAAAGCTGGACCCAGTAGGTAGCAGCATCTGTGTGCAAAGGAAGTGGTACCAGCCTGGAGAGTGGCTAAAACAGCAGCAGGATACCAAGCCCAAAAGCCACTTCCACTATGGGGGAGTGGGAGGAATGGATTAGGGGTCACTGGGACAATGGGAAAGAGTTTTTATTGAGCAAAATTAGAATGCATTAGTGTGCTCTTCACCAAGACTAGGTGGCATGAGAAAGAAAGCATGGAGCTCATGGGTGTTAGCTCTGTCCATGAGATTTCATGGATTTAACCCAAAGGGCTCCAATTGACTTCCTAGATAGAAACAAATGTGGTAATAGGCTTAGAATGCCTATCCTAGACCATGGCCCAAGATACTGTCCCATTGTGGGACAAGGGCAGAACTATAGAACTGCTAATAGATGTAATATTTCCCAAACAGTAATGAGTGAGGAGACACTATTAATGATGTCCTACCTGGACCTAATAAATGGTGGGGTAGGTTACGGGCAGAGCAAATACTTCAATTCAGGTAGAAGGACATCTTAACAGGGACTTTGGATGGGGTGTTCTGTTCTACCAGCCAATGACATTGAACCTGGCCACTGTCTTACACTTGGGAGTCAAAGGTAGAGACCTGTCATCTTGCTCTGTTGGACTTGTTTAGTGCCTGCTTTTTACTGCTCTCGTATTTCTCTCACACATTTCCTTTCAACAAGAACATACTACTAAGTCAATGAGAAAATAGAAAAGAATCATTCCATTAGCACTTCCTTCCTTACATACCTAAGATACATGTCCAATTATATGAGTTCTTTGTTTCCCATTTTAGCAGTGTCTGCTCTCAACACTCAGATCTAGTTTATGTTTCTATAAATTTATAACTCCATTTAGAAGCATCCTTTTTCAGATCCCTTTGACACTTTTCACTTGGTTATAACAGAAATTGCAACTTGAGCTTCACTTATCTTTAACACTCATTTTCACAATGAATCTCAAATTTAATCTTCCTATGGATCATGGGTTTGCTTCTTGGCAACTGAAATAACTTGGCCCTAACTATTTAATCCTTAAACTATTAGTTATTTCAGAATAAAACAATGTTACATAGGGCTTGATTCTTACTTTCTCCCAGTATGAGTTGGAAGGAAATTTAAAATTCAGCCCATGAAATCCCGCATGCATAACTAACTTGTATGAACTCCAGGCTGTCTCACTTGCAGTCACCTGTTCTTGTGCCAGATCACACTGCTGCATTCTAATTTGCTTTACAGAAACCTTTTCCTAGCATCTCAGACACCCTTAATCCACACTTCTCACTACTCAATAATTGGCAGTGGTGCTAGTCCTAGGGCCTCTGCTTCTCTCAGAGAACCCTTACTGGCTCATGCCAACTCTCTTGTGAAAGCACTAAGTTTTTAAAATCTTCTCTTCTGGGGCAAGAGAAATGACTCAGCAATTAAGACCACTTATTGTTCTTCCAGAGGACCTGGGTTCGATTCCCAGAACCCACATGGTGGCTAACAACCACCCCTAACTCCTGATCCAGGGGATCTGACACCCTCTTCCGGCCTCTCCAGTCATTGAACGAACATACTGCACTTACATACATGCAGGCAAAACACACCTATGCATAAAAAACTAAAATATTCTCTACACTTTGGCCATTTGTGGCCTTTTATGTTCATCATCCTCTGTTGCATGAGGAGGGTTCATTGATGAGAGTTGAGAGGTACATTAGTATTCTCCCCTTGATTCACTAAGTTCCAAGGACCTTAGATATAGAGGTTCCATTGTCCATGTGTCCATGGGCATCTCACATACACTTACCCTCTGTGTGTGACCCAAATATGGGTCCCTGGACAGGACGCTGATGTTGAACCTCAACCACCCAGGGCTCAGGGGTCATTGTAGAAGAGGTGGAAGAAAGACTTTAAGAACCAAGGGAAGAGGTACATAACCATAAAGAAACCGAGTCTTCTAGTCCTCTGGTAAATTGCTCCTATGAACCTACAGCAATGGTGACAGCATGTATAAGACCCATGCCAACTCAATCAGACAAAAACCCAGCATAGAACTGGGAAAATGAACAGTAGGCCCCAAACTCAGCAAAAGAACTATTGGCAGCTTATTACTGCTGCATGAGGGAGAGTTGATCTTCTTTAAATGTGAGACTCTAGATAGTCCAAGTAGACCCCAGTGGATGAATTTGCACTGAGGGATGTCTGAGTGCACTAACTTTCCTCTATAGGCCTCAACATATATGACAGAATGTGTGAAATCTTGTGGGGGTTTATATAGGAGTGATGGAGAAGAGGGCATAAAGATGATTCAGATGTTTTGAATGAAATGCACAAAATTTTTTTTAAAAAATTGGCTCTAAAAATGTTTATACTATGTTCTACTCTTATAAAAGATATGTGACACTCAATAATAGTAATGTCAAAATATACACTATTCTTTCTAACCTCCATATGTCCAACTCATTTGCACAATGTGTGTTCAGCTTTTTGGAAAAATAAACTTAAAAAATAATAAATAAAATGTACTTTTTTATTTTATGTGTATGAGTGTATCGTCTACATGTATGTAACTGCACCCATGTTATGCAATGCCCATGGAAGTCAAAAGAGGGTGTTGGATCCCCTGAAACTTGAGTTAAGGATGGTTGTCAGCCACCATGTAGATGCTGGGAACCGAACCCATGTCCTCTGTGATAGCAGTCAGTGCTCTTAACCACTGAGTCATCTTTCCAGCCCCAATGAAACATTTTTTAAAAAAATAAAGTAAAATAAAGTTTTGTCTCCTAAATGTTTATACATTAAGGCACTTTATGTTACTCCTGAGTCCCACTCCCCATCACCACCATTTGTGCTTCTCTAGTGGGATATTTGCCTAATAACTTCTTTACTTTTTATAAGAATGTATAAATAATGTAGGCAGAAGGACCTTAACAGAAACTTCTTTTTTGTGCAGCCCATCACACTCCTTATGGAGTCATCAGATGCCATGAACCTAGCCTGTCTGACAGCTGGATACTACAGGCTGCTTGTGGACTCCAGGAGATCGATATTTAACATGGCCAACAAAAAAACTACTACAGGCACCCAGGACACAGGTATTTTCTTTCTTAATTAATGAATCACTGACCCTGCCCCCACCATCACCCTCACTAAAGCTCACCTGACAACAGTAATCAGTAACCAAATTAAAAAGTAAAATCCTACACTTAAGAACACAAATTCCAGGGTCTGAGAATATGGCTCAGTGGATAAAGTGTTCATCACTGAAGCATGTGGACTAAGAGCTTGAATTTGAAGAACCAATGTAAAGCTGGGCACAATAGTATGTGTCTGTAATCCCAGTGCTCCTAAGTTAAGATGGAAGACAGAGACAGGAGAATATCTGGAAACTTGTAGGCCACCTAACATAGCATACACAGTAGAGCAGCAAACAGCAAAAAGGTCCTGCCTTAAACAAGGTAGAAGACAAGGACTAACACCCCTTTGTCTTCTGACTTCCACATTCATGGAGTCCCTTGGTTCAACCCTCACTACCACAAATAAAAGAATAAAAGCTAGATTTAAACCTACGGAAAAAAAACTGATGTCCAAATATAACCAAAAGAGCCTCCAAATGATGATGGTACTGTCTAACTATAACAAATGAACATGTTGATTTACCCACTGCATTTACTATATCACTTGGACATGAGAGATTCTTGCTTCAAAGGCACTAATTTTATGGCTGGAAAGGCTATATGGCTCTTTTTTTCTGGGGCTAGGGGGATGAAACTCAGGGCCTTATCTTTTCATATGTGCTAGTCAAATGCTCTTCCACTAGGCTTTAGCCACAGTCCTCTGGACATATCTTTACTGCTTCAACTCATAACTGCCAAACACTGAAGACTAAGCCCTCTGCTCTAGGGTTTCTATTTCTTTAAGACCCTAGATGGGAGCTTTTAAATTTAATTAATTAGGATTGGAGAGTTGGCTCAACGATTAAGAGCCCTGACTGCTCTTGCAGAGTACATGGGTTCGATTCCTAGCAGCCACATGGTGGCTACCAACTGTCCATAACTCCAGTTTCAGGAGATTCACTACCCTCTTCTGGCATCTTCAGGCATTGCATGATACAAGAGTACTTACATACATGCAGGGCAGAACAATCACACACATAAAATAAAAATAAGTACAAATTTAACAGTGACAAAATGAATCTGTGTATAGTGCCTAAAATGAACCTCAATAATCCTATTAATGGTTGATGGTAGAGGAAAAACTGACATAAAAACTTAAGAATAAAAGCAAAAGAATTACAGAAGAGAATTACAGAATGGAGAAGAGTAGACAAGAGGCAACAATGGGACTTGAGAGAGACAAACATTTAAAAGTAATTAGAAAGGGCTAGGAATATAGATCAGCGGTAAAGCACTTACCATGTACAAGGGTCTGGGTTTCATCCCTAGGTCCACGTAAGTAATAATAATTAGAGGGGCTGGAGAGATGGTTCAGTGGTTATGAGTACTGGCTGTTCTTGCATAAGACCTGGTTTAAAACAGAGTACCCACATGGCAGCTAAAAACTGTCCATAACTCCAGTTCCAGGGATCTGACACCCTCTTCTGTTCTCCGTGAACACTGCATGACACGGGTGCATTTACATACATGCAGGCATAACACTCATACACAGAATATAAAAATAATAAAATATTTTTAAAGTAATAATAATTAGAGAGAGGGAAGGAACAAGAAGGAGTGGTAAGTATATACAGAGTCTTTCAGTGAACATTTTTACAAGCACGTTTTCATTGAAAGAGATTTACAGCCATTCAACAATGACCTTTGAAATTCCAAAGAGCATTTGGGCAATTTAACACAATCCTTTCACAGTGGAAAACCAGTTTCTGGCCTTTTATTTTTAAATCATAAAGTTTACCTTGAAAATAAAACCTTTTACCCATGAGCTGTTCAAATTGTACAAGTAGAACAAAAAGCAACCTGCTATTCTAAAAATGGTTACAGTAATACAGTCTCAGTGTTGTCTACTTTGTAGTGACTGATGATGGGATGTGTAGTTAAAAGTGAGAGGGGAAATGGCTTAGTAACTAATGACGTTATTACTGGAAGGAAGAATGGAACATTGGCTTCTCAGTAGTTTTGCTCAATTCTATACTAAGAATGAGGATGAGGACACATGTTCCATATGCCTTCCCCACTGTAATAGAGGGTAGCATTTGACAAACAAATGAAAGCATACCTCACAAAAAGGAACTGGTGGGCCTAAGCTGAATGACAGCCTGAGTGTGCTGGTCAGTTTCAATTTTTACTTTGACATGATCTAGATTCCCCTTAGAAGGAAGGGAGTCCAGATGAGGGATTATTTAGGTCAGGTTGGCCTGTGGGTGTTTCTGAGAGACAATGCTTGATCATGTTGCTTGACATGGAAAGATCCAACCCACTGTGGGTGACATCATTGTCTGATTTTGGGTCCTAGACTAAATAAGAGTGGAAAAAATGAGCTAAGTCGTAGGCATACATGCATTAATTTCCCTCTGTTCTTCACTGTGGATGTGATGAGACCAACTGTTTTAAATTCCTAGAACCTAGATTTCTCATCTGTGATGGCCTGTAACCTCAAATTGTGAGCTAAAATAAACCCTTTCTCCCTAAGTTGCTTTTTTCAGAATATTTTATCCCTGCACCAGTATGTAAAATTAGCATCCTGTAATGGCTACAGCCACTTATTTTTTCTTTTTAAATGCCCAGAAGATCTCAGGAGACATAAGAAATGTCAAACATAAAGCCAGGCATGGTGGCACATGCCTTTAATCCCAGTACTGGAGAGGCAGAGCCAAGCAGATCTCTATGAGTTCAAGGCCAGCCTGGTCTACAAAGTGAGTTCCAGGCCAGCTGGGAAAAAAGAAATGTCAAAAGTAAAGTCCCAGGATTAGTTACTTTTCTAATTGCCATGAGCAAATACCAGATAAAAGCAACTAAGAGAAGGAGGGGTTTACTTTGGTTCACAGTTGAGAGTTCATTCTATCATCACAGGGAAGGTATGGTGTCAGGACCTTCAGTCATCTGCTCACATTGCTGCTGTGATGAAAGTCAGGGTGCAGAAAGTGATGAATGCTGGCATTCAGCCCTCTTTCTCACTTTTATACATCCCAGGACTCCCAACCCATGGGTAGTGCCATCTACATTCAGAGTGAGTTTTTCCTGTTCTGTTAAATATTTTGGAAATACCCTTGAAAACACCTGTATGTATGCTTCCTAGGAGACTGTAAATCCAAGGATGCTAATAATGAAGATTAAGCATTGCATTTCATGTCTAGTCTTATGAAGACTAAGCCACAGGTCCCACCTCAGAGCCTTCAATGCCTCCAGAATTGTTCCAAGAATCTAAACATTATACACTTTGGGAAGAAAGCCCAAATTGAGTACATGTTTTCTTCTCATGTCAAACTGAGATAGACCTTAGTTAAGACCGCTACTTTAAAAAAAGTATAAACCACAATTGTTCCTTCTCTCTTGAAAATTAACTTTCAAACCCTTTTGAAATCCCTGATCCCCACATATCTACACATACATCTCTTGGCTTTAGGAAGCTCTGAATTAATGTAATTTGTTTCTGCTTCTCACCCTATTTGGTTTACTTGTGGCACAACGCAGAAGTTGGAAAACTGCGGACAATTAGCTGAATCATGTTCTTATGAAGAAAGTTTTATTGGAATTCAATCATACACATTGTATTACTTTCCTGAGGCTATGACAACAAATAATTACAAACACGGTGGCTTAAAAATAAAGAAATCTATTCTCAGAGTTTGGAGGCCAGAAGTGTAAAATCAAGGTATGGGCATGGCTCTGCTCCCTTCACCAGATCGAACAGAATATGTCTTCTATATCAACTTTCTGCTAGTGGCTGCCAGCATTCCTTTTGGCTATTCCACTCCAGTCTTTGCCTATATCTTCACATGGCTTCCACCTCTTCTCTGCATGGACCAAATCCTACTCTCTCTTCCTGTCTTAAAGGGACTTGAGGTTGGATTGATGACCTACACAGATAATTCAGGGTGATCTCATCTTAAGAACTTTAATTAAATATGCAAAACCCTTTTTCCAAATATAGTCACATGTCCAATAAATTAACATTCTCAGAGTGGACACATCTTTTGGGAACCACCAAGTAACACATACTCCCATTCATTTATGCATCATCTCTGTCTTTCATGTTAAAATAGCAACATTGACTAGTTACTCAAGTAAAGATTTGGCCTAAGGAGCCTCAAATATTTATTGTATGGCCCTCCCTTTATATAAAATGTTTACCAAATCCTGGTCTAAACCTACAGCCCTGTTACAATGAAACTTGGCCATCTACTCTGTCTCCCAGCAACAATCCACCCTACACAGACACAGACACAGACACATCCAGCGAGAGAGAGAGAGAGAGAGAGAGAGAGAGAGAGAGAGAGAGAGACAGCTAGGCAGAGACTGTCATAATCTACATTTCTTTTTCTTGATAAAACAATGCCCAAGTCCCACAAGATATACTGATTACATTTTTCTTGATAAAACAATGCCCAAGTCCCACAAGATATACTGATTACATTATACAGCAAGATGCAAATATGCCCAGCATATAACACAATGTCATTAATATCATATCTTATTTGGTGTATTTATTTATTTTCATATATTAAGGAAAATGACTGAATATTGTTCAGTATTGTGTAATTTAGGGAGAGCAAAAACTACATTAGTAAAACTGAATTTCTTTTCCAAATGTCCTGTATACTTGATGGCAGTGTGACCCAAATACTGGCTGGGCGGTTGGTATGCAATCTAAAAGAAACAGATGGAAAAATCGTAGGGCCCTTGATTTTCCTCAGGATGTTGCCTCTGGAACAGACAAAGCAGTGGCCAATGGGATGACCTACTTCTTGCTCTTGTTAAGTATCAGAGCAAATCTCCACATGTAAATTCCACATTAAAAGACCCTTGAAGAACAAACAAGACAATAATATTTAAATATTTAAATAAATGTGTTACAATTTTAATTGGTAAGAAACATTGAACAAATCTTCACAAGTTACCATGCTACAAGCAAAAGTTGAAATGAGTCTAAATATTAAATATGCCCAGGAATAGAAGAGAGGAAGGCCTATGAGTCTTCACATCATGCATTTATATACACATGCATATAGAGATGAATACTGACATTTATACATGAGTCTATTGTGCCTACTATGATATAAATAGGCTGTAAATAGAGGTGTAATATTTTGGTTCCTAATAAATGTGGGAAAATCTATGAAGCTTCTTGACCTTCTCTTAAATCAAGGAGGAAAAACATGCAATCTCTTCCTACATCAATTGGGGAATGTTTCATCAACTTCACAAAGAAAATGGCAGTTTATTTTCTGAAAAAACAGCCTATTGGAATATCATCATTAAGGGTTGTAAAAGTCATGTCGCATATTTAGATTCATAAATACCAATGGGGTCTAATAAAAGAACCAACTACCTAAAATAATTAAGCTAGGAACTGGAGAGATGGCTTAGCAGTTAAGAGAACTGCCTTTTGTTGCAGAGGACTCGGGTTCAGTTCCCAGCACCCACACGGCACCTAACTCCCGTTTATATCTCCAGTTCCAGGGGATTCAACTCCCTCCTCTGACCTCCAAGGGCATTGCAGAACATGGGTGCACTTACGTATATGCAGGCAATACACTCATATGCAAAAAAAATAATGAATTTAATTTTTTTAATGATTAATATATTATTCTTTCCTCCTAGATGCTATTACATGTTATCAAATAGCAATTATATTTTGTGGAGAATTTATTTCATTAAATTCTCCTAAACAAAGAATCTAGCACCTGGAGCCTACACAGACCAATGCCCTATTTCTAAAGTTGAATAATTGTGCTTACCCAAGTGATACTGCAAGCCATTAAACTAAGAAACACAGATGTATTTGAGGATATTACTCAGTAGGTAAATTGCTTGCTGTGCAAACTTGAAAGCCTGATTTTCAATCTTCAGAACCCACATAAAAATCAAGGCATGGTGGCAGGCACCTGTAATCTCAGCAATGAGACAGTGGAGACAGGTGGATCCTAGGAGTTCACTGGCCAGCCAGCCTAACAGAACTGTGAAGGTTCAATGAGGGACCCTGTTTCAAAAAATAAGGTGGAGAATGAGGAAGGAAGACACCTGACATTAATGTTAGACCTCCATGTTCACACTCACAGACAAGCACACCTGCATAATACATAAATACATGTATACCACACAACCACACACACACATACAATAAAAAATAAAAACACAGACCACTATCCCTCCTGAAACCAGACAGCATACTGACTGACATGTCTTCCTAATTGTTTCTCTTTAGGAACAGAAAATAAAGGAAAGCATAACCTCCTTGGTCCTGAATGGAACTGTATGCCCCAGATGACAACTTTCATTGGTGAAGGGGAGCAAGAAGCCCAGATCACATATATAGATTCCAAGCAGAAGACAGTTGAGATGGCAGACAGCACCTTATGTCCCAAAGAACACCGGCATTTATACATTCACAACACATATAATTCAGATGAACTTAGCCAGCCGCTGACTCAGCCAGGTGATGCCCCCTGTGAGGCAGACTACAGAAGTCTAGCTCAGCGGTCCCTGATGACCCTCTCAGGACCAGACACTCTGAAGAAAGCACAGGAATCTCCGCGAGGAGCTAAAGTGTCCTTTATTTTTGGAGATCTCGCCTTGGATGATGGCATGAGTCCCCCAACTCTTGGCTATGAAAGACTGTTAGATGAGAGTCCAGAAATGCTAGAGAAGCAGAGGAATCTCTACATCAGCAGTGCCAATGACATGAAGAACCTCGACCTCACTCCAGATTCAGACAGCATCCAGTTTGTGGCAAATTCTGTATATGCAAATATAGGTGATGTGAAGAACTTTGAGGCCCCTGAGGGGATAGAGGAACCTCTCTTGCATGACATCTGTTATGCAGACAACACCGATGATGCAGAAGATGAAGATGAAGTGAGCTGCGAGGAAGACCTCGTGGTGGGTGAGATGAATCAACCAGCCATCCTCGACCTGTCCGGGTCAAGTGATGATATCATTGACCTCACGACCCTGCCTCCTCCAGAAGGGGATGACAACGAGGATGACTTCCTCCTACGTTCTTTGAACATGGCCATCGCTGCACCCCCACCTGGCTTTAGAGACAGTTCAGATGAGGAGGACACTCAGAGCCAGGCAGCATCATTCCATGAGAACAAGGAACAAGGCAGCAGCCTACAGAATGAGGAGATCCCCGTGTCCCTCATTGATGCTGTGCCCACCAGTGCTGAGGGCACATGTGAGAAAGGACTGGATCATGCTGTCGTTTCTACGCTGGAAGCTCTAGAAGCTCTTTCTGTATCAGAAGAACAGCAGAAGAGTGACAATTCAGGTTCTTTCACGATTGTTACATTTATTCACTGATAACCATGTCATTCCGTCCTTTTGAGCCATTTGTTCTTGGAGTCCTGTTATGTGGTATTCTCCATTTCACACATGTCCCATTTCATAATTATGTTGAACTACCATCATGGGGTTTTTGTGTTATGTGATTTCCTTTGTTGCTATTCAAAAAACAAATAGCATGCTCCCCTCCCCTCCCATTTCTGGAACAACTGTGCAATAAATTCAGAGTCTTTATTGAAAAGGGAAAAATCTTGTTTTTTGGTTTTGTTTTTCTTGTCTTTTGTTTTCAGGTATTTTCGTTGTTGTTTTAATGATAGTAAGTCCCATTTTCTTACATGTCTCCAATGCCTGTGGTCTATCCATTAATTGCTTCTTGTTTTTTACGGCATGCAGGTGTAGCCATCTTGCGGGCTTATAGTCCTGAGTCTTCATCAGACTCGGGCAATGAAACTAACTCTTCTGAAATGACTGAGAGTTCTGAACTGGCCGCAGCACAAAAGCAGTCAGAAAGCCTTTCCCGCATGTTCTTGGCCACTCATGAAGGCTACCACCCTCTTGCAGAAGAGCAGACAGAGTTCCCCACTTCCAAAGTCCCCACAGGAGTCTTGCCTCCAAAGTCCTCCCATGGCCTGACTGCTCGCCCAGCGACTGACCTCTCACCCAAAGTTGTGCCTTCCAAGCAGATCCTTCACTCAGAACACATGGAAATGGAGCCGGAAACTATGGAGACCAAGTCGGTCACTGACTATTTTAGCAAATTGCACATGGGGTCAGTGGCATATTCCTGTACCAGCAAAAGGAAAAGCAAGCTGGCCGAGGGGGAGGGGAAAGCCTCCCCCAGTGGGAATACACCAGGGAAAAAGCAGCAAGGAACCAAAATGACAGAGATGGAGGACGATGCCAAAGGCAAAGCTGGTACTGGGTCCTCAAGAGACAGTCCACACCTCAGCACTTTTAACCTGGAGAGAACTGCCTTTCGCAAGGACAGCCAAAGATGGTATGTGGCCTCTGATGGTGGGGTGGCAGAGAAAAGTGGAGTGGAAACACCAGCCATGAAAGCCTTCCCCAGAGGTTCTGGTCTGGGGACCAGGGAGGCTGAAGGGAAGGAGGATAGATCTCTGGAGGGAGAAGCTGATGATGGTTCAGGACTTGGCCAAGGGGACCACTTCCTCACAGATATGACTTGTGTAGCCAAAGACTTAGACAACCCTGAAGATGCTGACTTGTCCACTTGTGACCATGCCACCAAGCTTCCCGAGGCTGAAGAGAATGTGGCACGCCTTTGTGACTACCACTTGGCCAAGAGGATGTCATCCCTGCAGAGTGAAGGCCATTTTTCCCTACAGAGCTCTCAAGGTTCTTCAGTGGACACAGGCTGTGGCGCTGGCAGCAGCGGAAGTGCCTGTGCCACTCCTGTGGAGTCGCCCCTCTGCCCCTCCATGGGGAAACACCTGATTCCAGATGCTTCTGGGAAAGTTGGGAATTATGTTTCATCAGAGGAGAGAGCCACAGGCCTTCCTAACCACGGAGCCACCTTCAAGGAACTGCACCCACAGACAGAAGGGATGTGCCCACGCATGACAGTGCCTGCTCTGCACACAGCCATTAATGCCGACCCCCTATTTGGCACTTTGAGAGATGGATGTCATAGACTGCCCAAGATTAAGGAAACCACAGGTACAGCAATGATGGATTTAGTGCTTTGTTATATGCCAGGAGAATATGAACCCTATTTACAATAAACCTAAAAATGTGAAAGTAGAAGAAAAGTAAAAGGTAGAAAAAAAATATCGAACTGTTAAGTAGCAATCATTGATCCATTGGCAATAAATAGTAGTTTCCAGCTCTGGAACAATGTTGGAAATGGCGTTTTCTCTTTATAATCTTGCTTTGCTCTTTCAAATTTGATAGAGCAATAACTTTTGCTCTCAGTTCTCAGTGAAGACCTTTGGCAGGGCCCCATGTGACTCTTGGTTACAATATAGTATCACTTAGGGTCACATGGCAGTTTGATTTCTTTCTCACTGAGATCTGTCATTTTGACTTTTATCATCATGTTTTTTGGTTTTTTTTTTTTTTAGAGAAAGGGAAAAATACTGCATACTCTGTCAGGGATACAGTAGGATTCTCCATGATTCTCATCATGTTTTTTTAGACAAAGGGAAAAATATTGCATAGGCTGTCAGGGAGACAGTAGGATTCTCTGTGATTCTGTGTTTCAGTAGTCACAGATTCTTCCCTCACCTTTAGGGGATACCTTCCCTAAAGGAATCTTCTCATATGTCCAGTGTACCTCACTGTTGGGAAGACTTTGGTGCTATCATGATGAGCCTTCAAATAATAAAATCTAGATCAAACACAGCCACCTTCTGTAATTACCCATAATCTACCACCCAGTGGGCCCATGCCCATGTTCTTTTCCCTGACCCACTTGGCTGATCCTCAGGTGTCCAAAGCAGATGTTTCTAGTGTCTCAACTTATAGCAATAGCATGTTTTCCATATTGGTCAATAGATGTTACTGAGATCTTATACGGGTTAATTTCTATTTCTGTCTTTTTAAATATCTTTGAGAGTTTTTAAAAGATTTCCTGTTTTACCAAAGCTCACCATTAGCTCATACTTTGGGACAGTCATCAACCAGCTGCATGTTCACATGTAAATAAATTAAACCACACTTTTTAATACTCCATGGCTAGCAATGAGCTTTCACCTGTTACTTCCTGCTCTTCTTTACATGACAACTTTTCTAAGAAAAGTTGAGCAACTTTCCTAGTGTCTGGACTTCAAGCCCTATACCAGGCAAACCTCATACCTCATGCTGTCCTCTTAAAAGGTTAGCTGGGGCCTAGATAGTTGGCTCAGCAGTGAAAAACACTGGCTCTTCTTGCAGAGGACCTGGGTTCCGTTCCAAGTACCCACGTGGCAGCTAACAACCTTTGGTAACTATAGTTTCAGGGGATCTGACACCCTCTTCTGACCTCTGAAGGCACTGCACGACACATGTACACTTACATATATGCAGGCAATACAGTCATACACAAAAATGAAAATAAGTAAAATATTTTTTAAAGTTTTTTGAATTGATTCTCAATAATTAAATGAGGGCACCTCATTTTAATGTTATTTTTTTAAAGACAGGGTCTCCCTGTAGCCCAAGTGCTGGGATCAAAGGCATGGGCCACCATGCCCAGCCTGACAGTTCTTTAAAAAAATATAAAAATTAACAACCCAGCTCCCTTAAAATGAAACCTAAATATCTTAAATATGTTGGAATAATTTATATATATATATACATATATTACATATATATTACATATATGTTTGTTTTCTAGCTCTATGTCTAATGTTTGATAGGGAAATATTGGGAGCAAAGAAATATATAAAATACAATTTTCTCTTTAAAAACTTTTGGAATTTTCAGAGAATTTCAAGTGGATTAGTGGTTCCATAAGGAATAGATTCCACTAATTCTTGTCATCTGTTGACATGGAAATCTGTTATGAGGAATTTGGGGGAAGCAGTGTAGTCATGACATGACACATGGCAGTCATTCTAGAATGCATCTTTGGGAAATGACAGTCATCACATAGAGTTCTAATGAAAATGTCCACTGAGGAGATGCTTAATGAATCTCTCTGTTTTTCTACTACCCCTAGTGTAGCTTTGACAGAGCCTGGGAAGGAGAGACAAGGAGGCATGCCTTCAGCTTGGTCTCAACATTCTGAAGCTGATCCCATCCTGCTACCATCAAATATTCACTCGGAATCAAAGGTGCCAATTCCAAATCAAGACCCTAATGATTTCTCCCAAGCAAACCAGGCATTCAGAGAGGCTGTGAGCTGGAGGCCAGCAGATCCGAGAGGGGGGAGTCTCAGGACACCCCCCAGCCAGAGGGCTCTCAGACATAGCAGCAGTATCCTCTCAGGACCTGTAGGTTTGGAAACCTTCCGAGAGAGAACCAAGGGTGCAGTCAGCTTGAAGTATCCAGGTATCACAGAAGCACAGGAGACCAGTTCGGAAAGACGAGCAGAACTCCCGCTGGGGAGGAAGCTCACCAAGAGTTTTTCCCAAAGCTCAATGCACTTTAACTCTGGGGGGAAGCTTCCCAGAAGGTCCCCAGTGGCACATAAAGACTCAAAGTTGTATAGGACCTTACCCTTGAGGAAGCTGGAGGGCAGCAATTGGAGATGCCGAGGACCCTTCAGCTACTGTTTCCTGAACCGAGGGCAGGATGAAGATGGGGATGAAGATGAAGAGGAAGGAGAGGCCACCCTTCAGGTGTCTTGCCTCTATCGACCACAGATAACTCAAGCCATGCCGGAACATAGCAACTCATCTCTGGTTGTTGGGATGCGGAAGCAAGGAGAGGAGCTGTCCAGAAAGCCAGTGCTAAAGATCTGGTCGGAAGACCTGAGTGGACTGGATGACTTGGAATTCAACAGTATAGCTTTTGATGCCAGGATTGCAAGAATAAATGCCCTCAAGGAGAACACATATGTAATGCCTGATGGATTTCTTGCAGCCCAGAATGATGCCAATGAGCTGCTCTGCCTTGTCAGGGCAACCAAGGGGAAGAGAGAGGAGTCACACCCTGAAGCATATGATCTTACACTTTCTCAGTACAAGCAGCTCTTGTCTATTGAATCCAGACAGTTGGGAAGTGCCTGTAGGAAAATGGCAATGGCTGAGAAAAGCCCCGAGGAGATGCTTTTAGCTATGAGTTCCAGCTTCCAAGTGCTCTGTTGCCTAACAGAAGCTTGCATGCGATTAGTGAAAGTCGTGAACTCTGAAACACAGCGACAGGAAATTGTAGCGAAGATTGATGAAGTGGTCATAAACTACATTTGTCTCCTGAAAGCTGCCGAGGCAGCTACTGGAAAGACCACTGGGGATCCCAATATTGCACTCTCAATGCGACATTCAACCACCATGGCCGCTCTTGTAAGCACACTAACACGTTCTCTCAAGATGCTTTTAAATAAATAAATATGAAAGTCACATCGTAATCTACCTTTGCAAAGCCATACATGAACTTTTATTTACTTTCTGTGTAAAATGAACGGATGTCTCCTTTCTCCTCTCTGTATATTTTGTTATTTTATATAAAATAGGAGATAGAAGTTACATTGATGAATTGTTGAAATGTCCTAATCAGATATATTCTGTCTATATTATACATATATACATGTAAAAGAAATATATGAGAAAGTGATGGCATTTGGCTATTTTTCATATAGTCAAACACCAGGTATATGATGGGAAATTTTAAATACTACCATGTTAGAGAAAAACAATGAATCCTATTCCCTCTCCTTCCAAGCAGACACTTGGAGACCATATCATTCATATTTAGAAGTCAAAACCAAAAAGAAAAAAGATCACAATGTATATAAAACAGTACTTGTGTTTTAAAATTATGATTTTTAAGCATTGGAAATAGCAAAAAGACATTTAAAATTCAAGAAGCTATTATGAATTATTAGAGAATATATAATAAATTAACTTTTGCTCATAGCATTTTGTTATTGGATGCTTTCTTCCAAGAATCCCACATACTTAATTTTAGTTTATGCTATTTGGGCTACAGATGGGCAGGGGGTGGGTAGTTTTTATTGGTTCACCACAAATGCTCTTCTAGGTTTTTCTAGACTTAAAAAGCTTCCCCAATAGAAGAACAGAGAATGATGGGCAAGTTCCTAGGTGATAACTAGAGTTATGGATTACCTGATTACATTAAATAAATGTATTAGTTACACCAAATTTAAATTGTTCGGTGAAAAGAGAGATCTGCTTTGACTGAATGTCAAAATACATAAACCAAAGGTATTATTTTCTTCCAACTCCAACCCAACCACACAGCTTAAAATTTCGTTTAGAGTGACAGCACATCTCGTAAAGTGTTTATAGAATTACACAAAATGGAAAATGTAATGGTCACAAACAGTAAGTGCAGACCCAGCAATGTAAACCAGACCATACACCAGCACCCGTGAAGCACAGCATAGCCCTCAGCTCTTTCTCTCAGCTCTCAGAAGAGCTTCTTTAGCACCTCCTCCACAGGAGCCATGACTAGCAGCAAAACCTGGAAGGACAGCCTACAACCGGGAGAAATTTTCAAACCAGAAATATTCCAGAAAATCAAAGAGAGATGGCAACTCTCAGAATTGAAACCATGATTGAATAAGTCATGGAGTATTTTTATTAAATGAGTACTTCATTTGTATTGGATGATAGAAATAGTAGATCTGAACAAAAGCATGGTCAATTTGACCATTTTCAGGGAAACTAAGAGAATGCAAAGAAGTTTTCAGAGCTATCATTTCTCTAAAAATATATCTTTGGATCAAAACAAAAGGAGGCAAACTCTTCAATCATAAAATTGATATGTATATATATTTTTCTGGATCATTCAGTATTTACACTGTACACACTTCAATTTATGTAAGTGGCTCCTTAGAATAAGACAGTAGTATACAAAGTACAAATAATTCCAGTTTTGTAACCTACTAGGCAGGAGATGTAGCAGGGTCCACAGTTGCTATTTCTCTCTGGTCAGCCATTCATTCCACAGATTCTCACCAAAAGTCACACCACAGATTTATAGATGGCAGCCAAAGAAGGAGTTCAGACATGAGTTATTATAAATAATGTTTAATTAAATGAAAAAAACATTATTTCATTACAATTATAAATATTTGGTGTTTTGATATTGAGAGACATTAGTGGTGTTTACTGTGGAAAAATCTTAGTAAATATTCTGTGTACTATAATACTAATATAATAGGATGTGTGCTCTATGTCAGACAATGTGCTAAACATCACATTATCTCATTTATTCATCACAGCAATCTTTTGGTTTGGACACTACCATTGATTCCTTCTGGAGGCATTATGGTTTAGTAGTTATGGAATATGGGGACTGGGGTCAGAAACATCTTGATTTCAATTTTGGTTCTGTCATTCCCTGGCCCTTTCATATCGGGAAAGCTATTTTTTTCTAAGTTTCAATTTCCTTATAGTGAAATGGAATTCAGTAATGAGATCTATTTCCATAGGGTTGTCACAAGTTTTAAGTAAAATTATGTATGTAAAGTTCTTACCACAATATCTGGCAGAGATTAAGTACTCAATGTTAGATATTATAATTATCATAATCATTGTGTTAAATATATTGCCCAAGATATTATGTGGAGGATGTTTGTTTTATATGCATATTGTATCCTGACTTTGTGCAGAACACATTATGTGTACCGCATATATAAATGAAATGTACAAGGAAATGATGATCCTTGCTCAAATTGCAAATCTAGTTAGAACAATGTCCTAGTCCGTTGTAGTTCTTTGAGAAGTCTCAGGGAAATAGCTCTGGGTCTTTCTAACCAATCTCCCATTACCTGTGGCTACTCAGTAAGTTTCTGTTTCTTATAAACAGTCTTTCCTACTCAGAAAATCTCAAAGCCTCCCCCCTTCACTAAGCATGGGGCTCCTAACTGGAGCCCAGGTCCATTAGAGTATAGGAAGACCATATTAGAATGATACTTGTGTTTATTTTTATCTAGATTTTTATGTTTGTGTATGTTTTATAATGGCATAATAGTACAGTGGTACATGTACATACTTTTAAATAAATAAATGAATAAATGAATAAATAAGCATAAGCCTGGTGCATGCATGCAAAGTGTTGTCACAGATAGGGCTGTATTCACGAAAGTTTGAAGAACACCAAACTGCAGAGCAGAAGTTCCTTGCACAGGGGGTTTGTTTACATTTAGTATCCAGCCTGGTTTCCCAAGTGTATCTCCTACAATTTCTAGTTAGCTTTCATTATAAAATGTACACAGGATTGCACACAATCATACAAGGAAGCACCACGAATGTATCAGACATCAACTTGTGTCCAATTTTACTTTATTTCTATTCACCTCCTCCCAGATTGTATGATTTGGAAGCAAATATCAGAATCATACCATTTAATCCATGAACATTTCACTAGGAGTCTCTTGTGAATAATAATGTTTAAACATAACCATAATGCCACTCTCACATGTCAAAAATTAGCAAATTTCCCATGTCGTCAAAAAAAAAAAGTACAGAAATACATGGTGAAAAAATGAAAGTGTCTTATAAACCCAGTCTCAAAAGGCATTGTCCACAACTGATGTCATCTTCCCTCCATTTGCTTCTCTCTATTTACTCATGTTGCTGATGTTGTTCTACTTATGAGTTTAACTTTGGATTCAAGGTTGGTATGAGCACATTGACCTTCTACCTAAGTCTAAATTAATTCATACTTTATGTAAATTGATTGATCAGAAACAATATAGTTAACACGAATATAGTTGTCACATAAACAAAAATTAAGCTGCTAGTAAAATCCATCATTTGATGCAATCTCTTCAGACATTAAAAGCATGGACCCACTGACCCAAGGCTCAATGGGAATGAATTATCTTCCAAAGAAGCCTGAAAGTGGATATTGAAACCATCAGCTACAACACTACAATGATTTGATTCTTTTCACTAACAATTTTATCTTTCATTATGATTTATCTTGGTAAAGACACTCTCCACTTGCATATATTTCTAATATTAGTTAATTATCTTAATGCTATTTTTGAGCTACTCACAATATTGCTCTAATTTCTTCTGCCTACATTTTCCTTGATTTGGCAATGGTGTAATTTTCTCTCTACTTATCACTCATTAAGCTGCTGTTAACTGTTTTTGAAATTCGGAAACAAAAGGCAAGTCTGCTAGGTTCAGCTCAATCTTTATATTTTCCAACCACTAAGAAACTTTAGTATGGGACATTTGCAAGGCCCTGGGTTCTATCCCAAGAAGTGGGGGGAAAGGAAAGAAAGTGGCATGGAAAGAAAGGAAAGGACAGAGGAGAGAAAGACAGAGGGGAAAATTTATGGGGAAGCAAAGTACATGAAAATTACTGATCAGCTTTGAAAGATCAAAGAGCAGGAATCTTACCTTTTGAACTGAGTTTTTATTTATAACAACCTGACTATCACTAGACTAGATATTTTTAGTTATTCCAGTTATTCATTGGCCTACCTAGCTCATTTGAAATTTCAAAGCTTCTGCATAGAAGCCCATGGCAAAACAATCTGTCTACCAGATATTGTTGCTGCACAAAATAATAGGATGAAATAAATACTACATTGCTCATAGAAATACATAATTATACCAAATACCATATGAAATTAACCTGCTCCCTTCAGATAAGTTTCTTCTAATCTTTCCTCCAGGTTTATAATTGCATCTCAATTTTCTATTACACACTCATTTCACAGCATTAGATTTGCTTTTGTTTTCATTCTTCTTGATAATTCTCGTTTCCCACTCCACAGCCTGGAAGAAAGTTCTGCGTCACTCATGGCATATTCTTCACAACATATGGCCACAACTCCATGTAGTAGTAGGTCTAGATTAGATTTGAGCTTTAGTTTTCCTTTATTGTTTGAGAATTTCATGCATGTGTATTTTGATCCAATCTATCCCCCATTCTTTTCCCTCCAATTCCTCCTCTGCAAGACTTTCCCCCCTCAACTTCATGTACTCTGTTTTCAAACCCACTGAGTCTACTTAATGTAGGTTGTATGTGCATAGGCAGAGGACCATCTACTGAAGGAGCATAGGTAACCTCTTAGGGGTAACATCACTGAAGAAAACCGACTCTTGTTCCCCAGAAGTCATCAATTGCCAGTAGCTCTTCAGCTAAGTATAGGACTCCATGACCCCTCACCCCATCCATGGCAGGATTCTGTCTGGCTTGATCAGTGCACTCAGTCACAGTCACTGTGAGTTTGTGGGTAAAATAGCCCATGTCCAGTAAATACTGTTTGTTGCAGACACCCACTGCCTCTAGCTCTATGACCATTTTCTGACCCTTCCCCTCAATGATCCCTGAGCCTCAGGGGAGAGGGTATGCTATAGATGTCCCATTTAGAGTTGAACATGTCACACCCTCCTATTCTCTGCATGTTAACTAGTTGTGGATCTCTGTATTAATCACCATCTGCTGCAAAAAGACGCTTCTCTGACAAGAGTTGTAAAGATGCAGTAATATAAAATTATAATGATAAGAACTTAAGGGCAAGTTTGATACTATGTACATTTAGCAGAATAATAGTACTAGGTTCTCTCCTAGGACCTAAACCCTGGTCAGCCCCAGGGTTTTGGTACCAGACATAAGTTTCATCTCACAGAACAATCTTTAAAGCCAATCAGAAAGGGGTTGGTTAATTCCCATAACAATCTTGCCACTGTCACACCAATGGATAGATATTGTAAATTCAGTAGATATTTTAACTAGACTTGATTACTTTTCTCTCCCAATAGTGTGTCAAAGAAAGGAGAAGTGTCACTACCATTAAAGATCTTAGAAGAAGCCGTATGTAAACCTACTATTGTAGAAGCTTCCTGAAATACACAAATATACATATATAAAGTATTTCAAAAGAAGTTATCCAATAAAAAGGAGACAACGATTCTCCCAGACACCACAGGTTATCAAATTAAAACCCAATGGCAGGTAGATGCTATCTTAGCCTTTGGTAAGTGGGGTTACATAGACCCCCCCCCAAAAAAAAAAGCATTACAGGCTACTGTCATTGCTCTTGGATACCATTCAGAACTCGATAGTAAGACCTTATTGGTGAAGACACCACATACTTGAATGAGAGACCATGAAGAAATCAAGCTCATACTGAACTCAAAGTTTCATCCCTACTGGCTAGCTTTTGCAATGCTGGAATATTCTATGCACCCTACCAGGGGATTTGATCTTTCTTAGTAAGCTTCAATTAAATGCTATCTCTGCAGTTTTCATTTTAATTGGTACCTATTTTCTATCTTTCCTTTTCATCGGTGATCAATGAGTGCTTTCTTTCTAATATTTAAAAAGGCAGGCTATTTAGTTCATTCAAAAGCTATGAATAATTTCCTAGTCTACGCAAACATTATGGTAAGTGCTGGAGGGTGATGAATATAATTGATGCACCTGGTTTCAAAAATACAGTTATTGTTCTAGAATGGGAAAGCCTTTATCACTCTCTTCCAAAAAAGGAGCGCCGAAAGAGAAGCATTCCAAGCAGCCTTTGTTTGCATGATAGCTCTGGACCGAAAAGACAGCATGCTGAGATTTGTGTGTAGAGCCATCTAAACGAATAGAAAAATGCTACAGCTGTACGAAAAAACTGGCAACACCTTTAATACACTTCCTATCAAGTGCAAATAACAGGTAGATGAAAAAATTGAATGAAATTACTTTTTACTTTGGGGAGGTATTTGTTTTTTTTTTTTTTTTTTTTTTTTTTTTGGAGATAGGTTCTCACTAAGTACCCCAGACTTCCCTGGGACTCATACTCCTTCTGCCTTAATCTCCTAAGTTCTGGTGTTGCAAGTGAGTACCACCATGCCTGGCTATCCAGTATTTTAAATTACTGCCAGGTGTGGACACAACCTGGATTCTTTAGTGAGACCCCTCTCTCAGGAAAAAGTAACAGGAATAGAGGGCAATTAATTCAGTCAAAGTACACAATAAAATTGAAAGAAATTGTCTTTGTGAAACCCATCCACTATGTACAATGCCTACGTACCAATAAAAATTATTTTAAAATCCCAATAAACAAAATACATTAGAAATCTTGAGAATTAAAATGACTCTTTTTCATGGACACTCACCAAGAGAAGTTTGATAAGTTCTCTGCTTTGGCAAATTGTCATGCCCTTTTCTAAATTTGGATGAGGTTCCAACATTTTTTTTCATTTGTGCTTTTAATCATGTGAAATATCACCAAGAGTTCCTTTTAATGTGACGTGCTTTTTTTCTGTCACTTCCTTTGAGACAGCTACATCCTTTTCTCACAAGAACTCTCCTTCACTGCATGTCTCTGGTAGCACATCTAGTCCCAAAAGAAGACACTACCATCCCCTCTGTCAGCAATAGCTTCAATTACTCCACCTCCAGGATTGTCATACTAGGCTTCCTTGTGACATTTTCGGCTTTGGTGGCTAGTTGTCTCTCCCAGTGCTCTATTTTTGTAAAAATGTTCTGCGTCCTTACCACTCAGGGAATAAAAGTAGGCAGTACCACTGCGTGCTCTGCTGTCTGTTCAGAAACTGACCAGAAGGTGCTCAATGAGCAGCAGCTGTAAGACTTTGAAGGAAGTGATGTGATTGATCACTCACTATCACGCAAACCTTTTAGATGTGTAATGAATTTTGGTTTGAAAATCTCACAGTAAAGTTGGTATATTAAACAATGGCAGCTAATATGCCGTGATAAATGGAATTTAAATTGTGTTGCTGGAGACGATTAGATACAACATGGTAGATGAAAATCATACTTATCAGAACCAAGAATAATAGGACTGCCTTGCTCAGACATTTAAGGAGTCTAAGCCATTGCTCAAAATAGTACTCAGCACTATCCAACATAATTTTCCTGCAGTAATAGAAATTTTCTAACTATGATGCTCAGTATGATAGCAACTAGCCATATGTGACATTGGGTACTTTGAACTTAACCAGTATGACCAAGGAACTAAGTTTTTAACTTTATGTAATCTAAATTAATGTACACACCAACCTGCGGTCATACTGGTCATGTTCAGTGTACTCAGTAGCCATCCATTT